AGCAATATATATATATCTTTCTTTCTGCTTTTTCTCCACAAATCCCCCCAGTATATAGCTGTATATTTTAGTTGTGGGTCCTTCTAGTTGTAGTTAGACCAATATTTTTAGAGCACCTACCTCATGCCAGGCACTGTGCTAAGCATAGAGGATGCAGCAGTGACTAGAACAAAGAAAAACACCTGTCCTCATGGGGCTTACCTTCTACTGAGGGATACAATTAGCACAGTAATGGAAACAGGCTAGCTGGTGGTTTAAGTATTGGGGAAGGGGGCCAGGGAATGTGGGAGAAGCTGTGGTATGCGCTGGCAAAAGGGCTCGGGTCCCTGGGCACAGTCATGGAGCTCAGCTCTGGGGACAATTCCCAAAAGGGAGGAGGGCAAGGGGTGAGAGGAACTGGTGAAGTTTGGAGACTCTCTCAGCAGTGGCTCCTTCCACGTGTTCCGGCAGCACAGCTCACAAGACAAACTGAAGCAGGCAGACCTGGTGAGTGTTCACCGCCATTCTAGACTGGGAAACTGAGACCAAAAGTGGGGAGGCAGCATGCCTAAGACAAGGCTGCCAATGGTGGGCAGAGTGGTGACTAGAACATGAGTTTTGGATATCTTAGTCCAGGACCATTTCTGCTGGACCAGTGGTCATATTGGGAACTCTGGGTATTCATACTGACCTTCAGCACTGTCTTGCAGCAGGCTGAATAAATTGCTTGTCTTTTTTTTTTTTCTGAGGAAGATTAGCCCTGAGCTAACATCTGCTGCCAATCCTCCTCTTTTTGCTGAGGAAGACTGGCCCTGAGCTAACATCCGTGCCCATCTTCCTCTACTTTATATGTGGGACGCCTACTACAGCATGGCTTGCCAAGCAGTGCCATGTGTGCACCCTGGATCCGAACCGGCGAACTCCGGGCTGCTGAAGGGGAACATGCGCACTTAACCGGTGTGCCACTGGGCCGGCCCCTAAATTGCTTGTCTTGAGTACCGGGGAGACTGTGTAGCCTATCTGGGGACTCCGGTTTATTTTATTTCTAATGTTAACCTCAGGTGGCTATGTGCTCCGCGACTTGTATGTGATAAACGGATTGGTCAGGGCTGTCCTTTGGTGGTGGAGCAGACTGAAGGGTACAGGGGCATGATTCTTCTAACCCTTGGCTTCCCCTGGAGGCAATACTTCCCAGGAATGGAGAGGTTTGGGAGCATAGGCCTAAGGCACACAGTCTACACAGAGTGTGTACTCTGTGCCAAAAATCTTCCTAAGGAGATCGTGAGACTTGTGTCTTTTTACACTAGGCTCTCTCTGCCTTGGCTGAGTGTGGATTATCCACTTTCGAATAGGCCCTGGGTTTTGGGCCAGGTTGGTAGACAACAGCAAGTGATTTCTGGCCACTTTAGCTCCCAAGAGGTGTTCACTGGAAGTTCCTCGGACAGTGAGTGGAGGAGTTGAGTGGCCAGCTCCATGAGGTGCAGGAGGCCATGGACATCTCTGTGGCCGTCTCCTCCTTGGCTCTTAGCAGTTTGTAATTCTATTTGCTTACTCTCTTCCACCAACCTGTGCTGTCCAATCAGAATACAACAGTCACTAGCCACAAATGGCTATTGAGTGCTTGAAACTTGAGATGTGCTGTTACGTGTAAAATGTACATTGGATTTTGAAAACTTAGTATGAAAGGAAGTGTAAAATATCTCATCTGTATTTTTTATGTTGATTGCATGTTGAAATCATATTTTGGATATATTGAGCTAAATAAAACATATTGTTAAAATTAAGTTCACCATTTTTTTTTTAATGTGGATACTTTCAGTGTCAGAAAAGAAAATCTTAGGTATTTAAGACTGTGTTAACTTACATTTTTTTGTCACCTTATCCTAATAACGTATCCTTCTCCCTGAATACCTGCTGCCAACTTGCCTTATGTTTATGTAACTGGAGGGACCACTCAACTACTTTCAGAACAGAACACTCACGTACTTTCCAAAACAAAGTCTGCTCCAAGATGACTTGATTTCTTTACTATCAGATATTAATTTTAAAAAATTGGCAATACCTTCAGAAAGTACAAAATTAGAGACGTAAGGTACACTAGAGCACAGAGCAAAGAGCTAGTGCCTCCTACCTCTGTCTTTCAGTCCCCTCGTTTCTATCCCCAGAGACAACCAGTATTACCAGTTTCTTAACATATTGTTTGCTGATGACTTTTAACTGGCAACCTCTCTTTTAAAGAGAAAAAAAGTTAAGTTCCACCTCATGGGACACCCTGTTATATAACAAACCTATATAACAATATCCATACCTCTCTATAAAAAATCTTATTTTGGTCTAACTACCCACAACTCTTAAAATGAGATCACATTTACTTTATGGCCCAAATTAAATGTTCAAGCCCTCAGCCACACGACTGCCAAATGTCAGCCCCCTTCCCTGGCCTTCTTCCTCCCTGGGGTGAAGTACTTCCCGGGATCTACTGATTGTGCAGGCAGTGGGGCAGGAGTTATGTCTAGAGGCCCAATCGCCAAGGCTGCAAAGGACACCTCCATCTGAGTGAATTAAAAAGGGTCAGAGGATTGGTTTTTAGTTGGGAATTCACAGCCCATGTATTTTAGTAAAAATAGTAATAGTCGCTATAATTGCAAACATCCTTAATGCATGTGTACTCTGTGCTGAGACCTTTATGTGCACAATCAGCTTGAAGCCTCACAATGACCACGAGTTAGGTACCACTCAATAGCATTTCTATCTTCTCAGTGAGTGAGGCAGAGGGTTGAGTCATTAGTCCAAGGTGACCAGATAGAAAGGGGAAATTGAGATTTGAATTCCGACAGTCTGATCACAGAACCCAGGCTTTTTTTTTTTTTAAATGTTCTCAGTTCTGTTTTTTGTTTTTTTTAAAGATTTTTTCCCTTTTTTCTCCCCAAAGCCACCCTGGTACATAGTTGTGCATTTTTTGTTTTGGGTCCTTCTAGTTGTGGCATGTGGGACGCTGCCTAAGCATGGCTTGATGAGTGGTGCCATGTCCACGCCCAGGATCTGAACCTGCGAAACCCTGGGCTGCTGAAGCGGAGTGTGTGAACTTAACCACTCGGCCATGGGGCCGGCCCCAGAACCCAGGCTCTTAACCACAAGGTGACCCTGACCAGATAAGCCCCATGCAGGCAAGCACTTTCTCTGGGGGCCCCCCGCATACCACTTGGCACGGAGCAGAAGTTTAACAAATATTTATGGGCTGAAAGGTCCACTTATTAACACCAAGTATGTTGAGGGTAGGAGAGGAAGGTAGAAGCCTTTTCCAGTGACTCCAGGCTTGTGTCCTCCACTGACGGAACACCCTCTAACATCTAAGCCCAAGGGAAGGAGGCCAAATCAGGGGTGTGATGGGCCCTGTAGGGAAGGATTAGAACCAGGGGGCTGCGCTGGCTCAGAGGGACCATTCTCCTTGCCCTGGTGACGCCTGACGTGCCAAGTCTGCCCATAGGAGCCAGGCCCTTGATTCTGCAACTTTGACCTCAGACTGTGCGGGGCACCCTTTTTTTGCCAAGTTTGATCCACAACCTCTTTGCTCCACCCCCTTCTGCTGAAGAATTCTTTTCAGATGCATTAACATCTAATTTACCTGTTTTGTTTACTGCTGTACTTCTAGGACCTAGAACAGCGCCTCAGACACAGTCAGCCCTTATCAGTCGAAGGAGCGAAAGAACAGTTAAACTAGACAGCGGATCCTGGACGGGTGGCAATTCCAGTGCCCGGGCTCAGGAGACAACGTGCTGCCTCCGCTGGGTGTGAGTCAGCTCACCACAGGGGGGCTGGACGCGCGCTGCTGACCCCTAGCACCTGAGAGGTGGGCTTGAGGCAGGGGACATGAGGCACTTTAGGAGTGAGAGCCCACTGCACCCACTCACGCTGTCTCACAGCCACAGGGAGGAACTGCCGCACTTTTACGTAGAGCAAATTTCCCTCTTTTGAGTTTTGGTAGAAAAATAGACTTTTGCCAAGAGACACTAAAAATTCAAGAAAAATAATCATTATACAGTGCCAGGTCAATCAGACATGAATTAAAGTGACATGGACTAACCCTGAAATAGAAACAGAGCACCATACTTTAACTCTGACAGACACTGAAAGGCTCCAGAATCTCTCCCGCTCCCGAAGCGCTGAGCAAAGCAGGGGGCTGGACTGACCCAGGAGCTATTTTAATCCCCTTGAGAAAAGATGTGGAAAGGGCAAAGGACTGGGCAGATCACTCGGCAGAAATATAGTTAATGGATGAGGCAGAAATTAAATGAGTTTTTCTTATTTCTTTCAAGCAGGCCCAGAGTAAAATCCTAACCTTCTACCCAGCTCACTCTTGAGAGTATGTTGCTGTCTGGTCTCCAAGCTCTGTGCTTGCATAAAGCTCAGTGCCAGGGTGGGGAAGATGACCACCCCGGGGAGAATTTTAACACCTGCTCATGGAACACACAGTGGGGAGCAGAGTAGGGCTTACTAGCTGACACTGCCCATGCCAGCGGTCCCAGCAGCACCTGCAGGACACACGGCTTCTCACTGGGTGGTGCGCTCCTTCACATAATCCTTCTGTTCCCAGACTGCCACATGCTGATCTAAACCAGACCCTGTGTCTGCACTCACTGTGATCAATACTGGAGGCTCCTGGCAGTGCCATCTTTATTACTCACAGCAGCACACTGCTGCCATGATCTCTCCTCCCCCATTTCAAGTGTGGATCATACACAGAAGAAAGTGGGCCCTGGCATTCCCTCCCGCTCTCCAAGTCCACACTCCCCTGGTGCTTGCGTGTATTCCAGTAGTTCTGGATCAGATCCGGCCTGAGGCTTACTTCCCAGGCAAGTTTTTGGGAAGGCAACTGTCGCTCTGTGGTTCTTTGCAGGTTGTATGAGAGAAACAGTGCCTGCAGTGAGGTCTCAAGTGGCAATCTTGAAAAAGTGTGCTAACAGACTTAATCCTTTGGCTTGAATCAGGCTAGCTCAGTTTAAAGATTCAGGGGGGCTTAATACAAAGAAAAATGGCATTTATTCACATCACTGATACCCTAGGAGAAGTCTGTAGGTCAACCTCATGGGTGAAGGGAGACTACAGGGCCAAAACACAAATTTTAACAGCATTTTAAACCTGAGCCTCAGCTAAAAATAACTCAGGTCAAGAATTCCTACATCAGAATCGCATCAGTCTGGGAGAGAAAGCACTCACTCTAACACACCCAAGAACCAATGGTTCTGCTCAGGACCTTAGAGTACAGTACTGAGTAGAACCACAGCATTAACTTAGAACTTGGGAAGTCAACTAGGGAATGTCCACAGAACATAAGCATAATAGAAAACGCTATTTGAATTCTTTGAGCCTCCTCTACTTTTTCTTTTACCACATCCATCTCCTTACTCATCCAAACAGTCTTCTTGCTCAACAGTAAACTCACATCTCTTCGGTCTGCGCTGTTTCTTCCAGGGGTTTGACACCATGAGAAAAATCGTCTGTCATTTTAGAAGTAGACCATGTGAAGGGCATGGAGCCAGAAAGTAGGGCCAAAGCCCCACTTTTCACTATCATCTCACTCCCAACTTAAGCAGCTTGGTCTTCCGAGGCCCCCTGAGGGGGAAGGAAGAGCCAGAACAAGGGGACTTGGCTCTGGGAGGGAGGGGAAGGACAGACTCCAGAGAAAATGCTCGAGAGGGAGGGGAGCTGCAGGAATTGCCATTTCTTCTCCGTGGCCCTGGGCCACTCCTAAGAAGCAAATTTAGTACAAAGAACAGTGTCTCCAGGAGCAAACCCCTTCTGCCCTCTAGAAGACAAGCTATGTACATTTCTTTCCTATGTTGCACAGAAGCCCCTCATAAACCTTGAAAACCCAGCAGTGATGGTGCAGTCACCGGCAGAAGCCCAAGCAGGCAATGAAATGCGGGTCTTCCTGGATACCTTGCTGGTTCTTTCCTCACAGCCTGACGTGTGCTTTCTATTGTCATAGAAGAGAGACTCTGAAGAGCATCTGTTGCCAACTGGGGCACACCCCCAGCTCCACCTGACATCCATCCCACTGTGGGCCTCCTCCCTTTCTGTCTGGGTGGCCCTTCCACCTTGTAAAGCTGGTGCCTGCCTGAAGCCAGCAGGGCTTTCTCCCACCACGTTTCAGGCCACCAGTTCTGTACCTGCCCTGTGTGTGCTCTTCGGCTGTAGGAGGCAGGGCACATATACAGATACTTCAGGAGGGGTATGGACGCTGCCCAGGCAGCACAGGGGCCTTGGACTAGCCTTACTCATGGCCTCCATGTACACCAACAGTCCTCACCTCAGCAGGCCCCAAACTCTGGCAAGGCTTCTGCAGGCCATGAAGAACAGGGTTGACTCTTGTCAAAAGACAGAGTCTCCACATGGGGATTGGAAGTAGAAAAAAACAATGGGGTTGCCAGGGGTGTCTGTCAAAGATGTTTCAGAGCAGCTTGGGCCTCATGACAGTTTCAGCTCAGTTACAAATCCTAGATGCTCCCATTTGCTTAACCAGTTTTTTCAGTGATGCTTCAATGCTGGCTTTCTTGGTTTCTACAGCTTTTCGTTTTCAAAAGTAAAACCAAAATAACATCAAAAAGACCAAATTCTTCAAACTGAACAAATAAATAATATTTACATGAGTATGTCATAGAGAGATTCCAGCATGACTGAGGAACAGAAAAACGGGAACACGCCCTAGGGCTAAGACATGGCTCCTGGTCATGGTGAGAGATACCCCTGGGAGCCAATGGATGGACGAGCGAGGTGAGAATGAGCAGAGGCCTGGCTCGTCCTCCATCATAAGTCCAGGGAGGTGGAGTGGGCAGGAGGTGCTGAGCTGTCCATAGATTAATTAGTTTTCAAACAAACAAACCTCAGTTCTCCCAACTCAGCAGTGTGGTGTGGTCAGGGTCACCAGGTGAGCTGCTCCAGGGGAGTCTGGGGCCTTCTTTGACTGCTGGCATCGTGGGGACATCAGAGTCCATCTTAGGGAGCACAAAGCTCCAAAGTCAGCTGCTGGTCTCGAGTCCCCTTCCAGACAGGACAAGGAGCTGAGGTTAGGAATGGTCCCCTCTTCGCTGGGCTATGTGACAAGGGGGATGTGGAATTCATTTGTGTCGAAGATCAGGGGCCTCCTGGGAGGGCTTGGGTCCCTGTTGGCCTTGTGGAGCAGCTTGAAAAGCCCAGTTCCAATGTTCATGGGGATCCCCATGATGATGCATTCAGACACCCCTGAAACCAACCAGAAAGGAGATTAGAGAGCTTCTCAACACACAGGTGGGATTTCAGGATGGAAGGACCACTGACTTAGGATCACGAACTCAGATTTGAGTCCCAGCTCCACTACACATCAACTGGTTGAACCTGGGCTAGTTACTTTACTCCTCATTCATGAGATACAGATGGCTGTGAGGCACAGGTACGGCACAGGACTCCCGGACAGTGGAGGGAACTCCCGCACCGTGGGGCAGGGCAGTGCCTGAACATAGACCAGCTGCTGGCTGGAGAACGAGAGCTCAGCAGTTTTCCTCTTTGTCTGAACCACAGGTACTCTGTAGGCCTGGCCTTCAAGACCACTAAACTTAGACACAAGGATCCTGAACGATGCTCAGGAAAGCCTGAGTTTGCCACCCAGCATCCTTAACTTAGGGCCTAGAAGAAAAGCAAACAACACAATGATAGTCAGCAGAGGCCAATCTCCCTGGAAACAGCAGCAGAAGCTTGTTCACTGTGCTCAGGGGTTGAGGCTGGGCCAAGTTTAAGAGCACCCCCAAGCCTTGGAGATCCACAGCCCCAACAGGAAACACCAGAAGGCAGGGCTCCCTATAGAGTGACAGGAGTAAGGCGATGGTGCAGATTCTTCCTCCAAGCTCCATTTCGGCTTATAAAGATCCAAATGTCGGGCTCTGCATGAGGCTTCTGGTTCTACAAGTGCATGTGTGTCTACTATGCTCTGGGCTCTGCGCCATCAGAGGACCAGAGGGGCAAACCAGCAAACTCAAATCCAACACGCAGTGAGGGCTGACTGAGTTCCAGCGTGTAGAGGACCAGGAGGAGAGATTTCAGAGTGGGGCGGGGTGAGCCTGCCAGGCCCCAAAGGGTCGGTGGTGGAGAGAGGTGGTGGTGGGCAGGGCTGCAGAGCCCAGAAAGGCCCAGCGTCCTGGTGGCAGGATGGGGTGCTCGGGCTTAGTCCCACTGTCAAGCAGACTTCCTCTGACTTTGCCGTGGCCTTCTCCTGTGCTCCTGCCCCAATCTCTGCTCCCTTTTCTTTCCTTTCACCCTCCATTACCTTAAAGAATTATGCAATTTTTCTTTTCCTCCGTCTGCAACCTGTGTCCCTTTTGAAGAAAGAGTTAATCTTAGGAGCAAAAAACAGGCATAGACTCTGACTGGGGCCCCACCTGACCATCACCTGTTTGGCAAATCCACACAAGAGTAGGAGGTGAGATGGGAAATGGCAAGCAGGAAGTAGAGCTCTGGCGGCGGGGACAGCTGCCAGGCTTGGAATCCCTGCTTGGGCCTTACAAGCGTGCGACCTTGGGCAGGCTCCAGTGCCCCAGCCCCTCACAGACTCCCACCTCGGCTTGCAGGGTCTTGTCATGGCACTCCGCACAGGATTGAGAAGGGCCGGGTGGGCAGCAGGCACTCTTGTGACAACTCCCGTTATGCTCCCTCTCTCCCAGGCACCCGTCAGAGCTCTGCTGTGTGGTGGGGGGTGAGACTCTGCAGTCAGACTTGACAGCATGCATGTTAGTTCCCTCAATCTTCTCCCTTGTGAAAGGGTTTGATGCCTACACCTCATAACTGTGTGGAGATACCAGCATATAAGGTGCCTGGCACAGGGGCTCAACAAATGTTAAAGGCACGCCGGCTGCCGTTCCCAGGGACTCAGGACAGCAGGAGCACTGTCAGCCCTGGCACCACACGGAGGGTGCAGGACCAGAGGGGCCAAGTGTGACTCCAAGGGCTGGAAAAACGCCTACATGACCAGTCTCAACCTCTCCTTCCTGGACCAAGAGCTATCTGTACTGACAGAAAAGCCTTCTAACAGATGTAGGGGGATGCAGGATGCCACAAGCAGCCTTTGGAAATAAAAGATGGATCAGTTCCAATTCCGTGATCTGTGACTTTATTCTTAAAAAATAAAAGCTCTGTGTACTCAGTTTCTTCACCTCACAAGAGCCCTAACCACAGTCAAAGCTATAAACAGTGCCTTTGGAGATGCTCCCAGAAACACCAAACCTACCACACACGGAGTCCTTCTGCCCGAAGTAGGCAGCATCAAAGAGATGGTCAGCCGTCTTCTCAAAGGAGGCCAGCATCAGCACACTCTCCTTCATCTTGGCCAGGCCAAACCTAGTAATGCCCAGGACTTCACCCTGCATCAAGGGAGAAAGAGTCAGAGTGGTACTCATGCCACTTGCAAAAGCTTAAAACCAAATCACGCCCACTGCATTCCCTCAACAGAATAAGCAAAAGTCAGTCAAGCAGCTGTTCAAGTCACAATCTCAGGTTTGAACAGGATTCTAACAGCTATCTGTCCCACCAGTGTCCACGAGGCCATTAGTCACTGACAACACGGATCCTTATACTCACAAGTAGGAACAAAGAATTAAGAACTGAGAACTAGAATTAAGAAATTTTTTTTTGCTGAGGAAGATTAGCTGAGATAATCTGTGCCAATTTTCCTCCACTTTATATGTGGGTTGCTGCCACAGTGTTGCTAATGAGTGGTAGAGGTCTGTGCCCAGGATCTGAACCTGCAAACCCAGGCCGCTGAAGTGGAGTGCACCGAATTTAACCACTATGCCACAGGGCTGGCCCCAACAATCTAACTTTTAAAAAAAAGAGTACTTCTGGGGCTGGCCCCGTGGCCAAGTGGTTAAGTTCGCGCACTCTGCTGCAGGCGGCCCAGTGTTTCATTGGTTCGAATCCTGGGCGCGGACATGGCACTGCTCATCAAAACCACGCTGAGGCAGCGTCCCACATAGCACAACGAGAAGGACCCACAACGAAGAATATACAACTATGTACCGGGGAGCTTTGGGAAGAAAAAGGAAAAGATAAAATCTTAAAAAAAAAATGAACAAATAAAAAAAGAGTACTTCTGGGCTGGCCCGGTGGCCAAGTAAAAGTTTGTGTGCTCTGCTTCAGCAGCCCAGGGTTTTGCTGGTTTGGTTCCTGGGCGCGGACATGGCACTACTCATCAAGCCACACTGAGGCGGCATCTCACATGCCACAACTAGAAGGACCCACAACTAAAAATATACAACTATGTACCAGGGGACTTTGGGGAGAAAAAGGAAAAAATAAAATCTTAAAAAAAAAAAAGAAAAGAGTACTTCTGAAGATGTTTATTATAGCTCAAAGAACTCAAAACTTGGGGCCTGCCTTGGTGGCGTAGTGGTTAAGGTTACTTGCTCTACTTCAGAAGCCCAGGGTTTGGGCCAGTCTGGTGGTGCAGTGATTAAGTGCACATATTCTGCTTCGGCGGCCTGGGGTTCACTGGTTTGGATCCCAGGTGCAGGCACAGCACACCTTGGCAAGCCATGCTGTGGCAGGCATCCCATGTATAAAGTAGAGGAAGATGGGCACGGATGTTAGCTTAGGGCTGGTCTTCCTCAGCAAAAAGAGGAGGATTGGCAGCAGACGTTAGCTCAGGGCTAATCTTCCTAAAAAAAAAAAAGAAAAGCAGCAGCCCGGGGTTTGTTGGTTCAGATCCTGAGCGTGGCCCTACACGCTGCTCATCAAGCCATGCTGTGGTGGCATTCCACGTAGAAGAGCTAGAAGCACTCACAACTAGGATGTACAACTATGTACTGGGGCTTTGGGGAGAAAAAAAGAACTCAAAACTTGAATAATTTAAAAGCCTCAAAGTAGGGAAAGAGTTAAGTAAATTTAGGTGTTTTCATTCAAAGGAACATTGTGCCATCATTAAAAAAGCATATTTATAAAAACTACGTAACAACACGAAAAACATTTACAATGTTAAATAAAGAGTCAAGATAAAAACAGCATACTTGCTATTTACTGCAACTACAGTACCATTCGACATGGATACAGAAGAATGGAGGGAGATTGAAAGACCACAGCCTTTACCACAAGGTGGTAGGAAACGGATCACTTCTTCCACCTTGTTTCTCAACACTCTGTAATACAGTACAGGCTTGCTGGGGAGGCATTATGAAAACCTGCTGCCTATGGCACTGCTGGAGGGAATACATTTTGTAGGAAAAAGAGGGAAAAAAAATAACCAACCAACAGACCTCAATACTCCCCAGTCTCCCACTTTAGATCACGTTAACTTACCCTTTACCTGGAAATGCCTACAGAAAAAGTATGATAAATGGGTTTAACAGGAAGTAAATACCTTGGTTTGCCAAGGAAATCTCTGGACTTTAGACAATAGACAGGATAAAATTTTTTTTTTTTAAAGATTTTTTTTTTTCCTTTTTCTCCCCAAAGCCCCCCAGTACATAGTTGTATATTCTTTGTTATGGGTCCTTCTAGTTGTGGCATGTGGGACGCTGCCTCAGCGTGGTTTGACAAGCAGTGCCATGTCCGCGCCCAGGATTTGAACCAACGAAACACTGGGCCGCCTGGAGCGGAGCGCGCGAACTTAACCACTTGGCTACGGGGCCAGGCCCTAGGATAAAATTTCTAAAAAGGACAAAAACAACACTCCACCTTATGCCATGAGCTTGTGATTTTCATACTGGAATTTTACCAGAACACCCAGCCCCTACCACCAGGCTTTGGGTTTTGAGTGATGGTGACACCTTATTTTCTTTCAATGGTGGTAATCAGCCATGTATTCTACATGTCTTAGAAGCCTGGCAGCTTCATTCTCCTGAGACTGGGTTTGAGACACCCTGGGAGACCAGGTCCCTCCCACGAACCTTGTAGGTCATCAAGTCAGACAGCAGCATCACGTGCCTCCTGTCGATGCTCATGCCATGGTTAACCATCGTGTACTGGATTTCATTGATGATAGTTGTCCGGGCAGCTTCGATGCCCAGAGTCTTCTCCACCTATGGAGAGCCAGGATGAGTCGAAGCAGCCACTTCTGGGATGCTACTATTTCTCTCCACGTCCTCCTCTGCCCTGCAGGTTCACTGCAAACCCCTGCACCCTTTTCCAGGAAAGAGTGCCTGGCAATCTCTAGTGGTGGACCCAGAGCAAACAGCAGGGTCAGAGAAGTGTGCCAGGAACCAGCTAGGCCTGCAGGCAGTTCTGAGGGAGATAGGATGACTGTAAGGTGACCCTGGGCTAAGCGGTACCTCATACGTGTTATTGGAGGTAGTGCGGGTGCCCTTCACACCGTGGGTGGCCATGACTGCCCGCAGGTTATCACCCTCCACCAGGAGCTTGTACTTCTCCTTCCCGCTCTGCTCGTCGATGTGGATGACAGCTCTGGACACTTCCGGGATGCCCTGTACCACCACCTGCACTCAGACACACAGAAGGCTCGAGACCCTGCAGTGCCCATAGCCCCCACCAACCTGGGAGCCTCAGAAACCCCAGTGGCTGTGAGAACTAGGAATGTCACGCCCTGGGTTTGTTACAATGATCACCCTTTTTTCTCAGTGGTGATTATCAGTAACACACCAAACTTCAAAATGCCAGTGTGCTGTTCCAGGGATTAGGGTAAAAAGCAGTTCAGGGGACTGCACCCCATTCTACCATCAGTTTTATGAGAGAACAGAAAGGACTCTAACATGAAGAACTGGTGTGGCAGTGCTCAGAAGGAAAAAAATTGACCGATTCCTTGGGGATGTGGCAAAGAAGAAATGAAGAAGTGGGGTGCCACCCTCAGTCTCAGCAGTGACAAAGTCATCAGGGCTCCCCGGCAACTGCGTGTTCACATTAGAGGTAAACGCGTCTCTCCCTTCCCCCTCCCCAGGCCTTAGGCTGGGCAGGGCCGCGGCTGCTGTGCCTCACCTTGGGGAGGTCCTCCTTCAGGAACTGCAGCACGTAGTACATGGAGCTCTTGCTGTTCTCTCGGGGGGTGACACACACCACAGCCTCCCCGTGAACAGCCACGTCGCCAGGCTTCACGCGGAGCTTGGACGTGCAGATGGAGTACCGCACTGTCTCAGCGTTTACCTGCAAGGTGGCCCGGTGTGGGCCACACGCCCAGGACACTAGTGACAGGCTCTGGAGCCTTTGATTCCAGTGCTCCTCAGCCTTTTTTTTTTATCATTGCCCCTCTAAGAAGCCTTTTCAGTCATTTTTTTCCTAACCTCTCTCCCCATTGTGAAATTTTAATACCAGAAATATACTGTGTATTTGTTATGTATATATATCTGTGCTTTATTCATAAAGAGATTTTTTTCACGCCCCCCGCCTGCCCCACAAACCTATTTTTGCCCTCACTGAAAATGCGCGCTCAATTCATGGCAACATGCACAGGCTCCAGGGAGCTTCCGGGGAGGTGGGAGGTTGGAGATCAAAACAACTTATTTATTTTTTATTTTTTGAGGAAGATTAGCCCTGAGCTAACATCTGCTGCCAATCCTCCTCTTTTTGCTGAGGAAGACTGGTCCTGAGCTAACATCCGTGCCCATCTTCCTCTACTTTATATGTGGGATGCCTGCTGCAGCATGGCCTGACAAGCGGTGCCATGTCTGCACCTGGGATCTGAACCAGCAAACCCCAGGCCGCTGAAGTAGAATGTGCAAACTTAACTGCTGCGCCACCGGGCCCGCCCCACATCAAGACAATTTAAAAGATTCAGTGAAGCCTCCCCTTTACCTGATATTACAACTGCTCATGTGCTATATTCCTCCGTACGATCTAGCTTTTCTGCCAACAGAGCCACAAGGCAGGCAGCCAGAGCCCAGCTGGAGAAATCCCCAACTTGGAGAACTGGCCACTCAATTTGAGTCAAGTGTCATACGGACAACACATGAATGTGGTGCTCGAGAGAATGGGCTGGGAGAATGTGTTAAGACTAGTATAGACTCTACTACCTGAGATAAAGAGGAAGGTGCCAGGAAGTTACCCAGTTTGCACCACTGCCTCAGTCTGTCCCAGACTGATAATCTTTCAACTATTACCTATACGTAGACACCAATATATAAGGCAGGTTAAACCACCCATCCAAAAACATTAACCGAGCTAGCCAGGAGCTAGCTAGCTGGGCGCTGGGGCCACACATATGTAAGACACAGCTGGTGCTCTGGTCCTTCCAGACACTGGGAAGATGGACACAAGGAGACCCATTATTGTAATACTGTATCACAGTAAGCAGGTATTGTGGCCTGCACAAAATTCCAAATAATTTCCTGCGTGTCTTTAGATGGCAATGTCTGCATCAGGGTCAGGTTTAGAAAGAGAATGTGAAGGCAGAACAGACCTATACAGAACAGAAATCGAACACAAGCCTCTGCAGCGCTTCTGGTGCCTGGTCTAGCTCCTGCCCTAGTTCATCAGTGCCTTCCTCGGGACTAACAGGGGATGACTTCCTCTACACACTTAGTTACGTGACTCACTTCCAATCTCAGAAGTCTAATCCGTTCCAGGGAGAGCTTGACGAGGATAAAGCAATCATCAGGAAGAAACACTTCTTCAATATACTCTGAAATCTGTGGTGTCAAAAGATGAGGCTGTTAATCAGTCACTTTCCCCTTTCCTAAAAGCATACATTGTTCACTTTTTTTTAAGGACAGAGTACTAGGGACACACTGGTAAATCCACTGCGACTGGTCTTACTCTGCCTTGCAACACTGCTGATCTTTTCTTGTTATCATGAGGGATTTCTCCTTACCTCTCCCAAGAGGGTTTTCTCAATCCTCCCTTTCACGAGGCGAGCATAATCTGCATCGTCATCCCTGTCCAGCTGCGCTGTGATGATTGGAGTGCTAGGAGACAGAAAGAAAGACAGTTGCAGCCCAAGGATTGCGTCTGTTTGAAGACCGCTGCTTTTTAAAATCTGAGTGCTATTTAGAATTGTGATGTGAAAAGCAACTGCAATTTACTGAGCATTCACTGTGTCAAGCATGCTACTTCACACACGCTCTCACTTAGATTTACGAGTTTTGGAGCTCATGGGGCAACCCACTGTATCGGTGAACGAACAACTTTCAGAAAATTCTCCCTCACCAAGTGAACCTACCTCTTCCTCTTTGGACCTAACAAGCAGGTAGTTTACTTACTTTCCCTGAGTAAACCGACCCTTGGTGTCTTACAGCTTCCTCCATCCCTCTCCCCTCGTCCCCATTCTCTCCTCTCCAGGACACTCTCAGCTCCTCCAACCACTAAGTGTCAGCTTCCATTCTCACTGTCTGGATGGCATCCCTTAAACACACACCCCTGGTGGAGACCTGAGCAGCCCAGATGAGGCAGGCACATCTCCTGCCACCCTGGACATCTGCAGTGGCTGTTCTAGAACCAAGTGCAGCTTTCTTCCATTTACTGCTATTTGTCGTCATTTTCTTAAGATTCAGATCACAGGTGAATTATGATTTTGTCATTGAATACACTGTAATATATTTCTATCTTTTCTAGTCTTAGATCACCTACAAATCCTATCATGGAATCACCTGGGGGTCAAGGACTATGGCCACAGCCCAAGTGAGAGACACATCAGTCAGGCCTAGTTAGGTTGGGACTAATGCCATTAAAAGGATGAAATCTATACTGACACATTGCCCCAATTTTTCCATTCATTTTTCGCATTTCTCTCTTTCGTGTGACTTGTGGCCATAAAGAACCACTGCTTCAATTCTGACGGTATCCAGTTTGAACTTATTTTTTCCAGTTTGGGTTTTTCTAAACCAAAATATGGTTCACACAAGCATGCTGCTCAGAGACAGATACCCATGAGAGTATCAGACGTATGCATATGACAAGGGAATTCACTGGGTCTCAAGGAATGTGACAGGTGAGTGTGAGAAGAGGGAAACAGAGGTGGGCACCTGATGGCCTTGGAAGCGTTGATGATCTCTTTGATCCGGGGCACACCCAGGGTGATGTTCATGGAGGCCACGCCCGCAAAGTGGAAAGTCTTTAGGGTCATCTGCGTACCTGGCTCGCCAATGCTCTGGGCACAGAGCGCACCCACCGCGGAACCTGGCTCCATCTGTGCCCTAGAAGAAAAAGATATGGATTTTCCCTATCAAAACTGCTATTGGCAAAACTGTCCCTATCAGCAAAACTGCTGGGGAAAGCTTCTGATCATCTCCTTTCAACAGAAAAAATACAGAAGCCATTAGGGTCAGGAAGGAACTGGCGACAAGCCAGGCTGTGGTTGTGACAGAGGAAGAAGGTGGCACAGATCAATGATAGGTGCAGACAGGGGGATGAGAGCTCAAAGGGGTCTGAGAATGAAAGCGAATACTGTGTGACTACTGTGGTCAGCGTGCAATGACCGGACCCCAATGTCTAGTGCCTGCAGACGATCTAAGAGCTCTGTTAACAAATGGTACTGAATGCGGACAGAGCAGCGGGCACCTGCCAAATGGAGCAGCAGTTTCTCTGTGGGGAGAGGACACCTGGAAGTTTCTGTGCAATTATTTCCACATCTTAGAAGTCCCTACACAAGAGGTGAGAGAACCTGCTCAAATACTGATAGCAATATTCGGTGCTGGCCCAGGACTTTTGTTTCCCTGAGGAAACGGGAGGGATATGAGAGACCACATGACTGCCTGGCAGTCTGAGACAACCAGCATCCTTACCTCATGTACTTGTCCCTACATGTCTCCAGAAACTTTTCTATTTGGGTGGGGGTGATCCGGTCCAACTGGTACAGCACACGGGGCTGGAAGAACAAAAGCCAGCAGAGTTAGAGCTGGCAGCCTTGGAATGTCTGGCCATCTGAACATGCCCGGGAAGGTCGTACCTCTGTTGTGCCATTATCGTTGATGCCATATTTATCTCTGGTTTTTTTAATCTTCTCAGAAACTCCCTTGATGAATTTTTTTATTTCCTGAAAGATTACACAGCAAACATCAGTTGTGTATTTTTCAGTAATTTGAATGACATGATTCATTTTATAAACTTCAGTAATATGACAAGTCCATCATATTTTAGCGATAGCTAAATATATACTACAAAGGATACAACATGGATACAGGTTCAATGTACAAAATGCTTTTCCCAGGAATACACCATACCATTCACACCCTGGACACATCATTCATTGGTTTAGGTGTCTCTAAGGCCTTTTTACTCCAATGATGCTTCAGCACCAGTATGCACCAGTCACTCTCCCGGCCCTGCTATGCTGTCCGTCTAGAGCACATGGGGGTGACACCAGGATAACCCCTTCCACCTGCCGCTTTCTCTTCTGCTCTCCTGGCATACCACGTTGCCTTCATTCACACAGCTCAGAACAAGTATAACTATACTATTGGTACTTTCAGTCTGCAGAATGATTAATTTTTGAGGGTTTCTTCTGGAGTTTTGATCAAATTAAATATTACAAGCTAAAGCATAGCTTAGTAGACACCATATACATTTCAAACACATGCTCTGAGATTGCCTTCATTTCAAAGGAAACACTGCCCAAACCCAGCTTCTCCTTATCTCTGACTCTCCCCACTGCATCACTCCGCCAGGCTCACGCTCCCTTCCCATACACAATTAGAATTTGTAAGGACTCCTGGAAACACTCTCATAGCTAGAAATGAAACATCAGCATATCTGCTATTCCTGCTGATTTAAGAAGAGCACTCTAAGCCCCAGGATGATGACAGAATGGAGCAAGGAAGGCGGCGAAAAGTACATCATGTGGGGGATCCACAGAGCAGGGCCAGAGACTATGGACCTAAGATTTCTGGCAACCACTCAAAGGGGAAAACCCATCTGTTTCACAATTTATAGTGTGTCTGTGCAGTAAACCCAGCCTCGCGGTCACTCCGAGAGCCAGCACCCCCTGTCAGGGAGTACTTACAGAGAGGGTGGGATGTGCTTTAACGAGCTACGCCCAGCCAAGTCCTGCTCTCAGGGGCTCACAGATCAAGCACTATGGGACTGACTCTTAGAGCACTTCTCAGGCGAGCCGATGGCACACACCACGCAGTAGCAGCAATCCCGCAGAGGCTGCTGTAGTGCAGTCCTGGGAGCTGGCAATCAGCTGCTCTGGTTTGATCCAGGTGCATTCTTGAGAATTTGGGACAGAGTGGAGAGCGTCCACTTCCTTCTCCTCAGCAGCCCTCTGGGAAGCACAATTTCCTTCAATGATTTTGGACAAATTGTGTTGGCAGGGAGCTTGAACAGCACTCTGGCCAACTGCAGGCGTCCAGCTGCTCTGTGTGGCTGGCTGAGGACAGACTCACACACATGGATGGACCAGTGGGCTGGCCCAAGGGAGGACTGCATATTGTATTGGCTGCAAAGCTTCACGAGGTGTTGTTTCTTGATGTGGAGGTTGCCTGAGGGGTCCTAAGGAGAAGACCAGCAAGCCATGCCCAAAGTCTACTCAGTCTGTATCACAGAGCTGACAACGTCTAATGTTTTGTCAAAACAAATGTTTTAAAAAGTAGACTGAACCAGAAGCCCACTTTAGCAAAAATAAAATCCTATAAGGCACCTATAGAGAGCTTAACACTTACTAGGCCAGTTTTATCCTAACCTTACAAAAATAAACCTCTTTAGCCTCCCATAGACTACCTAGCAATTTCTAGTTGCTACTTTTCTGAAAGTCAAACACTAACACTTTATGTTCTCAAGTTTAAACAGCTTTAGCATCTTGTGTCCACATGGTCCATGGCTCGCAGGCTCTTCTCAGTCAGCTGCTGCCCAGCTTGGTGAGACCTCTGTGAGGTAGCATGGCATGAGCTCCAGCATTCTAGAGTGGAGGGCATTCAGGGACTGAATAAGGCCCAGGGCTTGGCCAAGGCGACACGCCACTCCAGAAAGTCAGATACTTTCTCCAAAGTTTGCTCTTGGGGCAGGGGTTTTCTGCAAGGTCCTTGCCCCAGTGGGAATTTCGGTCTGTCTCCTAGTAGCCTGGGCGATCAAGGGGTACCTGGAGTTGGGGGCCATCACATCTTGGCTGTCCCCTGTTCATGAACACAAGTTTCTCATGACCGCTCTTGTTGGCCAACTCTTCTCATTGAGAAAGTGTGGAAATACATGGAGGGTTACTGTGCCACTCAGCTATCATTCTACACAGAAAGGACTTTTATTAATTTATAAGAACTTGAAAATTCTCAAGAGATTCTTTTAAAGAGAAACTCTTTCTCCAGCTTTACTAATTAATTAGGAGTTGAGGCCACATTTTCAGATACAGTCAGTTATTACAAACCAGATGGAAATTCGAGCTGGAGAGGGCCGTGGAACAACCTTTCCCGGCCTGGCTCTGCCTAACAGTGGGGGCTGCCATGTAACTGTTCCTCTCTGTCCTCAGTGTGAAGAGCCTCTTCCACATGGGTTATTTTCTCCCTGAGCCTACTGTCTAGCTGTAGTTGTAACCTTTAGAGCAAGCTTCTGAAAGCCTTCTTGGCCCAGATGTTGCCATTCGATTGCCAGGTGTTAAAGGCGGCCCCACCTGTTGGCACAGAGAAACTGGAGCAAGAACCTAAGGCCAAGCAGACCCGGGGATTTTCCTCTGTGGGGAACTTTGCACAACAGGCAGTGAAAGAGCACACACCTATAACCATTCAGCTTAGGCACTGGAAACGACATCTTTCAGCTGCCACCCACATGGGGACACGTCCAGTGGCTTTGCTGAAAAAAATGAGTTTCCTTACACAAAAGTCAGGACAGATATTCTGGAAGTTAGGTAACAAAAAACAGGCTCACTTTGCAGAAATGAAAGCTGAAACAAGCTACTAAGAATTCAGCTAAACCAACCCATGCATACTAGAGGGAACTCACAACATGGCAATTGGCAGGCAATTAACCACACGATTAACCCACAGTTAAATTCTCACACTCACTCTACAGCACAGCTCTGAGCGTTGGGCCAGGGCTCGAGGCCACCTATGAGCTGCCTCCGTCGCCTCAGCTCTGGCACGGGGGAGGGCTGGAGAACATTTCAGGGGCTCAGACAAACCTGCTGCGGCCAGTGGACCCTCTCAGCAAACCTGAGCTCATCAGACTGTGAGCCACTGGAGGGCAAGGACACATTTAGTTTGTGTCCCCGGGAGCTGCAGGGCATGTGACGTATAGTGAGGGCTGGAAAGGGGTTCACCGAATAAACAAATACTGCTGGTCAAGGGTCACCCGTTAAACCTTGTGAAAGGCAAGAAAGGCACCAGCCCAAAGTGATGACCAGGGAAGCCATGTCTGCCAGAACCAGGACAGAAATCTGCTGTCTCCGGTGCTCCAAAGAGCTGGAGAGCTGTAAAGTTAAGTCCCTTATGCTCAGCATTCACAGCATGCCAAGTACGTTACCTTGTTATATTTCTCATAACCTGTCTCAGTTAAGGTCTTTGAGGATAAACAGAAAGATAAATATGTACATACAATCAGGAGAAAAACCAAATCACAATCAAATTTGTTACTTAAAAAGAAAAAAAAAGAGAAAATCTGTGGAAAAGAAATAAAAAGGCACTCAGTCTAGACATATTCTATTTTTTTTTTTTAGGAATCTACTATCTCCCATCAATCCTCCTCTTTTTGCTGAGGAAGACTGGCCCTGAGCTAACATCCGTGCCCATCTTCCTCTACTTTATATGTGGGATGCCTGCCACAGCATGGTGTGCCAAGCGCTGCCATCATGTCCACACCCGGGATCCAAACTGGCGAACCCTGGGCCGCTGAAGTGGAATGGGTACACTTAACTGCTGTGCCACTAGGCTGGCCCTAGACATATTCTTAATTTTAATTACATTAAAATTTGGAAGAGTCTCTTTTTCACCTTTCACACCTTAACATGTGAAAGAAGGGAGTGAAAACTTCCCTTAACTAAAACATTCTTATTTAAGGTTTTATTTTTTTTTTTGAGGAAGATTGGCCCTGAGCTAACATCTGTGGCCAATCTTCTTTTTTTCCCTCCCCAAAGCCCCAGTCCATAGTTGTATATCCTAGTTGTAAGTCCTTCTAGTTCTTCTATGTGAGATGCCACCTCAGCATGGCTTGATGAGCGGTGTGTAGGTCTGCATCCAGGATCCAAACTGGTGAATCCCGGGCTGCCAAAGTGGAGTGTGCAAACTTAACCAGTATGCCACCAGGCTGGCCCCTATTTAAGTTTTTTATTATTTTTATTTTCGATTTACTTAAAGGGACACATTCTTGATGTTCTGTGCTACACTTGAATCACCAATCAGTACACCAAGGAAACCATGTACTGATTCCTGTATCCCTTTGCTTTTGATCAGAAGCAAGACTATCAACAGGAAGGAGCTGCTTGAGTAGGACAGTGAAGTTAAAAAAAACAAAAAACTCCCCTAAAAAACCTGCTATCAAGGTAAGAGCTCCCTGGAAGAAGAAGGCAGGTGGACTCTACGGATTTCTGATCTATACTATGGTAAGACAAAAAGCAATTTAAACTAAATGATATTAAAACAATGCTACTAATAAAAATTATTGGGATCCAGAACGACTGAGGGAAGAGTTGGCCCACAGGATAAGAAAGCAGGTTGTAGGGGGTCGACAAGGATAGGGTTAAAAAAAGCAGTTCTCTCACTAAAGCCTTTTTCTTCTATCAGGGAAACACTTGTGTAAAAGACATAAACTAAGAGAGACATCAGATAAATTCTTCGTGATGGTTGGTGAGGTTTTGCCTAGGCCATTCTTGAAATTTTTAACACAGAAATACTCTTAAACACTCCCCAGCTTATACAATTCACTGTCAGCACTTGGCAAGCCATTTCTTCACGTCAGCTAAGCCGGGTGCCACCACCCCCGCGGGCTCACCTGCAGGAAGCTGTCCTGGCAGCAGAGGAACTCGTTCTTCTTCATGATCGATTCCGTGGTCAGGATGAGTTCGTTTTTACTGAGTGCAGGCTCGCTCCGACACGGAAAGACTGCCTCAAGTGTTCAAAGGAAAGCGTGATGTGTAGGAGCAACGGAGAAGGGGTCAGTGCGCAACGAAAGAATTTACAAGAGACAAAATGACCTTGCTCAGAGTCAGCTTTTAGCAACCCGAAATTTTTTTTTCCAAGACAAATTTTAGACTCTACCTTTAACATGAAGGTGAAACAGGATAAACTGATACTCCATCTTACACAAAGACTCCTGGGCTATTCAGTGGGTATTGTCCCATTACTCCCCAACCCTTAACCCACCTCAGATTTGCTTTAAAAATACAAATTATTGTTTTTAAAAACCCCAAACATTTCACATGTGAAAATACCCTCCACCCCCAAGCTATTAGGATTTCCCCAAAGTTTTATTTTTTAATTTATTTTTATTTTGTTGAGGAAGATTAGCCTTAAACTAATATCTGTGCCAGTCTTCCTCTATTTTGTACATGGGTTGCAGCCACAGCATGAGCTGACGAGTGGTGTAGGTCTGCACCTGGGATCTGAACCCGCAAACCGCAGCTGCTGAAGCGGAGTGTGCTGAACTTAAGCACCACGCCACACAGCCGGCCTCTCCCCAAAGTTTCAAAGGCTGCATATTATCCTAACGTATGGGCAGACCATATGGATTAGACCTGTCCTCCATTGATGGTTTGCCTCTACTATAAACAACGTTGGAAAACATTCTTGACACATTTAGATCATTTCTGTAGGGCAAATTCCTATAAGTGGAACTGTTGGGTGAAAAGGTACCCACATTTAAATTCAGGTGAGTATTGTCAAATTATCTCCTAAAAAGGTTGTTTTAAATTATACTTCCAGTTAAAGTGAAATCTTCCTGCTTCTCTACACCCATGACGTTTAACTGGGCTCTGTCACACACAGACACAGAAGCCAAAGCCCTCTTCTATTGACATTTGATTACTAGCAACGCTAGACTCTGAACGTGGGAAAATATTTTTCCCTTAGTATTTGGGAAAATTGTGCAGAGTAACACACACACAAATGCTAAGCCAGTAGCCGGGTACATTAGACTGAGCATTAACTGTGTGTGACAGCCCAAAGGGTACCTCCATTCTAAAGAAATGTCCTTGAAAACACTCTAACCCCAGACATAATGCTAAGTCTTACTTTGATGTTGTCCAGAACTCTTTTAAACTCCAAGGGTTCATCTTTTCCCTCCATAGCTGCAGGATCTAAGCCATCTCCCCCATAAATGAACTGGATAATATCGCCCGTAGAGCTTCGCACTGTCAAATCGTACTGTGAGCAAAGATCTTCCAGGGACTTCACAAGCCTTCTCTAAAGGAAAAGGAGGAGACGAAACAAAAGCTCGGCTGCTTTAAGACGACTAGTTACATGTGCAGAGGATGAGATTTGCAACTCTTAAGTTTCAAGATTACTAGCACTTTGATCACATAAAAACCTTTTATTAGGAATCCCTTAAAATAGCCCCCTGACCTCAAGAGCACCTCATGAGCCTGCGCAGTGGGATTGAGAATATGCTCCAACCTCCAGCACTTTAGTGTGGTTTAGAATACATGCAATTTCAACCCCATCACCCTCAAAGGACTCTGCAAACTGTTCCCCTAGGCTGCTTGCCCTTCCCTTTTTCTCCCTAAGGTATAAATTAATGCAACAGCTTTGCATTTCTAAACACAACTTAATCCAGGACCCCTGTGGACTTCAATATGAACTACAAAGGATCAGGTGCAGGCCCTCTTATGGGACAGTGAGGAAAGGAGAGAGAACAGGGACAGCATTGTGTCTGAACCAGCAGGCAGCAGTCATTTCTCAAATCTGCTTAGGGAGAACTTTCTACTAACAGAACACTCTAGCCAGCAATGTGATGGTGGCTCAGTGAATTAAAGAGAAAGAAATCTTCCTTCAGGCAACTCAAATAAAAATCCCTCATGCCAGAACTAATTTGTTCTAGGTTAACACACTGTTCTGGGAAAGGTATACTCTCTACTTCAAAAAGAGAAAAACGAAAAAAAAAAAGTCAAAAGACATTCTGGCAAGAATGGTAAAAGCATTTTACAGTCTGTTGGGTTTCTGACAAAAGCAGCACACTCCAAAACTGGAGGGCAATTTCCAATCAAAAGATGATTACAAAGGAAGTATCAGTAATGACACCCAGGCCCAGAAAAGGTTACGGAAATAAGCGTCTACTGATTCGAGTCCATTTTCATCCTCATCAACCTTGTTTATTCTGGCCCACTCATTCACACTTCTGGTTTATCAATCTTGGTTTCCTGGCTTGCAAAGGGCCATGGTTCTCAAACTGGGATCCACAGTGGGGAGAATGGGGACACAACATCACAGCAAGTTCACGGCCCAGGAACTTGCAGTGGTGACTTTATCTGGTGTTGTAAGTAGATAAAAACATTGAAAAACAAACAAACAAACAAAGATTATGATGCAGAGTAGAGACTGAAAAGAAATCCTTTGCTTGTGGTCTTATGCAAGAACAAAGCAGGGATGTGCTTCCACTCCTCTGCCATTCGGGTTACTTCTGTGGCCGTCTGAAAAGCACAGGTACAGGAAACGCTCCAGTGCAGCCCTGTCCCCCAAGCCTGTTATCCTAGAACCACATGCACAATGGAGAAAGAGCCATCCCTCCAAGTGCCCAAGCCCTCCCTCGGGTGCTGGAATAGGTTGTTGGAGTCAACTAGAATGACATGAGTTTCATAAACAATTGCAATGCAAGAAGCAGAGTTCTCCCAATAATTAGGAAGTATGTAATGTCATCTCCATCTTTAAGCATTAGGAAACAGAGGCTCAGGGCGGTCCAATGTCATGACCCAGGATGCACTTCCAGTCCCTGTTCTCCTCTAGCAGAGCCCTGGTATGTGTGGGTCTGGCCTGGTCTTGATCACTTGAGGTACATAGGATGATATGGAACATGTTACCTTTTTACGTTGTTTATTTCTAGGGCACTCACATTTCTTAATATTTCCTGTTAAATACCAGGCCTGGATAAATGATAGCTCAGGTACAAAATGTGTAAATACTCAGCAGTCAAAATCCGCAGAGTCTTGTCGTGCTCCATTGCTAGTGGCCTATATTTCTTCAAGTTACCTGCATGTATCCTGTTTCAGCTGTCTTTACCGCCGTGTCAACGAGACCTTCCCGGCCAGCCATTGTGTGGAAGAAAAACTCAGTTGGCGTCAAACCGGAATAAAAGCTATTAGCCACAAAGCCTTTGGCAGCTGGGAGCTAAAGAGAGGTAGGAAAGAAAGAAAAATCAAACAAAAAGGTTGAAGGTCTGCAATTCCAAAACCCACTCAAATCAGAAAATGCCTCACACCCTTCTACTACAAATACCTGGCCAAGGCACCTTCACGAAGTGGCAGACTTTATATGCCGTCTCCTAAAGGAGAAATAATTTGGCACAAACCATCCTTACCAGAGACAAGGAGGGCGAGGTACCAGCTAGGGCTGGCACTGGTGCCAGTGGCAGGCAAATGGCTGAGGAGGGGGAAACTGAAGCTCGGGCTGCTATCCCCAGAGCAGGCGAGCAGTCAAGGACCTCAGAGGGCACCCTGCTGACTGCAGCTGCTTGCCCATTCCCTTGAAGGACTCCCTGCAAGACGTCCTTCCAGTCACTGGACTTGCCTACCTCCAAAACATAAGCATGTGTTGCTAATGTTTAAGGGGTTTCATTTTGGGGTGCTGAAAATGTTCTAAAATTAGATCGTGGTGATGATCACACAACTCTGTGAATATACTAAGTCACTCAACTGTACACTTTAAATGGGTGAATATTATGATATTTGTACATATAATTCAAACACAATGTATCTGAAAAAAAATTGTAAAAAACACATCCATATATAAAACACCATGTGAAGTAGCCAAATGGCCTTTGATCTGGATTGGTTAGTGTTCCTCAGAGGACAATCCAGATGAACAGGCCAAACTCTCGCGTTCCGATTCTGTTTAAGGAGCAGCTGGTGTACACACAGGTACTGCTAAGCAAGCACCTCTATCGTGAAGTCTAGCACTGGTTTAGGGACTGAGAAGTCTGGCTGCCCCCGCCCTCTCCTCTAAAATGGTCCAGGTGCCTTAGAACTCTGAGCCTAGCCAGCACAGGCAGGCACCATTCCAGGACCACCTGGCTGCCAGACAGCTAGTGGATTCTGATCTTGGGCTGAGAATCTGAACTGTTCCTGAGGCCACCTGATAGCATATCTAATATTCTCAGCACAGTAGCCACATCTCCCCAGGAGGGGCTGGACAGAAATCCTGCTGTTCCGGGCGCAAGAACAGCTGGGGCAGCTGTGCCTTAAATCTGACTCCAAATTCCGAATTTACTATGTGACCAAACCTGGTCTAAGTTCCCCAACTATAGATTTAATAGTTGTCCGTCCCTAAATCCCAGAAAACCCCAGCACAGGTGTGTCTCTCTCTCTCACCCTGCTGACACTAGTGCCCAAACCACGACGGCCAATGGAACCCAGAAGTCATGTAACAAGTTGAGTTTAGGGGCTGGCCTGGTGGTGCAGTGGTTAAGTGCGCACATTCCACTTCGGTGGCTCAGGTTCACTGGTTCAGATCCTGGGTGCGGACATGGCACCACCTGGCAAGCCATGCCGTAACAGGCGCCCCACATAGAAAGTAGAGGAAGATGGGTACGGATGTTAGCTCAGGGCCAGTCCTCCTCAGCAAAAAGAGGAGAATTGGCAGCAGTTAGCTCAGGGCTAATCTTCTTCTTCTTCAAAAAAAGGTCAAATTTAGAGGCCAGCCCCGTGGCTGAGTGGTTGAGTTTGTGTGCTCCTCTTTGGCAGCCCAGGGTGAAAAAAAAGAGTGGGAACAGTTCTCAGCTCAGGTGCCAATCTTTAATAATAATAATAATAAAAAAAAAGTCAACTTCAAGAATTCCAGAGGGGAGAACCTGGAATGTCCTAGTCATTTTGCTGTGGTTCATTCTATCATTATTTTGAAATCCTTATACTTTTATTAAGTGCTCTCAAAACAAGCATATAGATTGAAAGCACATATAAAGTAACTATACATTCTGATTACTTAAGGTAAGTTGGATGGGAACCTGAAACCTTCCTCCTTGGAGAGAAAATACACAAGAGGGCAGTGGTCCAAGTTTACAGCGCAGAGTTTACCAAGGCTCCTTCTGTACAGCTCAGTTTGGGCTGGAGAGGGAACAACCCTGAGCAGCCCCTGCTCCCACTCACCACCTCCAGGAGTCTCACGGTTGTCAGCCAGAGCCTCAGTTACTCTCCTCTGCACTGCTGACGGTCGCCCTTCAAAGTTCTGCCTGATCCACTGTGCTTACCTTTGAATGCTTTTCAAAGTGAGGCAAGGACCTGTTTTCAAAGCCATCTGGCACACGAGAGCCACTGATGGCTTGCTGTCCCACACAGGCAATCATCTGTGATATGTTAATGAAGGAACCTGGGGAAACAGGTCAGGAATGTAACATTCATTTACCAAAATAACATTAATTGAAGTGCAAGCATATCTGTGGGATAACACAGGAATACAATGTAGTACAGCCCCTTCCCTTCAAGTGCACAGTCTAGGGACAGTGAGAGGCAGAACTTGAGTAACACAGGGTAGAGCTGTCAGTAACACAAGAAGGGCAGTGAGGGCTCGAGCTGCTCCGAAGCCAACGAGCACTCTGGGGCCGGGGGACAGACATGCAGTGAGTCTCCAGGAAGGAGCAGGAGCCAGGCTGGATTTCTGGAGGACGTTATGATTCAGGCATAAAAAGGGTGGGAGAAAGAATTCCAAAGTCGGTGGAAAAGTGGGAAGTAAAGACACAGGAATAAGAAAGTGTGGGGTATGTACCAGGGGCAGGAAGTAGAATATTGGGGTGAAAGGCAGCAAAGTTAAAAAGATTGGATTTTATTCTATACAAAAATAGGAGAAGCACAGAGGTTTTGAATCTGAGTGCAGTTTTATGAAACCTAATGCTTTAAGGTCCTAGGTAACTATGAAATTAAAGTGCTTTGCCACATCACTAAATACGTTGTTTTAAAAATCCCTAACTTTTCATTTTTTAAAAAATAAGATAAAGTTTCCTCAAAGCACACTCAAACCCAGAAATTCACACACACTACCAACAAGGTTCTCCAAAGGAGTTAAGCTTCCTATACTGCCAATAACTAACTCTCTTTCTATATGTACGATTAAAAAGATAAGCCCTTATAAATAAAAGGTCTAAAGTCACGACTCTTACATTCTCTGGAACAGAACGAGCCAGCCACATGGAAAACACAGTGACAGCAGCAGCCAGAGAGGTGCGCACTCACCTTTAGAGCCACACAGAGCCATGGTGAGGGGGCTATTGCTCTTATCCAGCTCCCGGAGGCAGGCACTGCCAGCGTGATCACGGATCACAGACAGCTCCTTCAGGATCAAGGCCTGGGGGGAGAAAGGGGGAAGCGTGGTGGAGTCGGCCTCACTGGCTCTGCTGATCACAAATGTTCAAGCTGACATTTAGGGAAATTTGAAAAAATTTAAGCAAGATGTTAGATTTCCAACAGATAAAGATGTCAGCGCTTTAGAAGACCAAGATACCCCAACTAAATAGACCGCGACCTTTCACGAGGTTCTAAAATCAGTGTGTGAGGTAAAAATGATTAGGAACGAAACCTTGAAAAATCCTTTAAATGGCCAATAGAATAGAACGCACATGGCTTTGTGTATAGTACCCTATACAACAATATATCTGCATATAAATTACTGTGTTACAAACACATGCCTAAATAAATGTATAAAGTATAATATGTAGTATGTAGTAAAACAGAATTGCTTGTATTATTTACAAAATTTGTTGCCAAGCACACATTTGAATTTCCACAAGGTAAATGTATGATGAAGTGACTCTATAGGAATATAGAATATTATTAGAAGTCTACGAGCTCTATAATATTACAATATAATATATATTCTATAATATGGAATATTATCGAAGTCCATGAGCTCAATCACAGATTATAGTTCCTCAACTCACAATGTAGGATGCTGAATCAGTTAGGAATCATGGTTCCACTAACAACTGGTGCTGTCGAAGTCTTAAGTAATTTTCTAGATGAGAAACATCATTTCTTTCTTTCTCTTTAATACTCAGCGAGATTAAGAATGAGCTAATGGTGAATACCTCACCCCACTCTGTTTTCTCTCTGCTTTAAAAATTTCATTTCATCAGCTTTCTTACTGCTTAAAAGCCTTTCTCCCATACTTAGGTGAGTTAAAGCTCTGAGGCGCAGGATACTGGGGAGGCAGAAGAGAGCCAGGCAAGACTCTGGTGCAGTGAGACTGGGGACCTGGGCTGCTTCAGGCTCTCAGATGCTGGTCGTGATGCTGGTTCTGACGTGCTGGTTCAGTTCTCAGCTAACCTAGTCTCAAATGTGAGGGGGGTAGCAGATTGCTATGTGACTCTGAGACATGAATTTTCCCTCCTCTGTATCCAAGTCTCTTTCAAAGACCGTCCATTCCAAGAGCAGGGGGCCAGTCTCTATCAAAGGATGAGGGAAATAGAAAGCGCAGAAGCACTTAAGTACCAGTTACAGAAGGGGCCCAAGTGTGACATAGGAACAAGAGCCGCCCCATGTGGCCAAATAAACACAGGGCTGTGTTGTCCCCATGTAGAATGTGAAGGCTGGAAGGGATGCAGAGGATCTGCTCAGCGGCCCTCCCCTCATCAAACAAACGAGAGCACACACAAGCAGCACAGGGCTGACATGGGGCTAAAGGCGCTGCCTTTACTTCTCACTCCCCTCAGCTGCCTTCTCTTCAGGGCTTACAGCACAACCCAAGAGCATGAAGTGGCTAAACTGATGCACAGAGCAGGACTCACCTCCAGGGTCTCTTCAGCAGTGCAGCCAGGCTGCTGCTGCAGCTTGCCTGTGTTTAGGGCTTCGATGTACTCATCACATTTTTTGTAGCCAGCATTCAGCAACTCATACTTGGCCTTTAGCAGTCCTTGACCAGGTGTGACATCACCAATCCCGATTGAGAATCCACGGTTGGCTGCAGAATAGATGGTAGGTAGAGCAGGAAGAGAGAGGTGTGGGTGTCAGGCAACCTACTACATGGAAACAAGTTTATACCTTGAGAGAATCTGTTGTAATTCAGTTGAATAAAAACTTACTCTATCAGTCCCTAGGGAGTTAATACAAAAACGACTAAGATTCTCTAACCATGAAAGCTAGTGGGGAGCACAGTGATGTCCCAACTAACTAGAACGTGAAGCAGATTGACACTAAATAACAAAGAGCAGCCTGAGGAAACCAGCTATGGAAAGTGAGCCATCTGACTTCTGACTCTCAGACAGCATTGCAGAGACCTTTCTGCACCCCACCACCCACTCCTGCTTCTCTTTTCAAAAATTGTTCCAAGACACAGAGAATACGACACACCCGTAAATGCCACTTTTGATGGAACTACGCGCTATCAATAATCCTACCCTAACATACGTAGAAAGTGGGCAGATGAGAGGCGACTGGCTTAGGAAGGTAGGTAGGGGGATGCCTAGAAGTGCCTCAGAAAACAGGACTGATAGCCCGGAAAGGCTCAGAAAGTAGATCACCAGGCTCTGCAGAAGCCGGAGATGACGTATGTGTTGGAAACAGGGAAACCGGTGGAAAGTCTGTGTAAGAAGTAGACCCCAGGCCCCTCCCCCTGTGGGAGATGGGAGTTTACTCCCCAGGAAGAGGAAGTAGGAACTCTGGATGGGGGGATACTGGGTGCAGACAGGTGGGGATAACCGAAAATCAGGGCACTGAGGGCAAGCCTGCACGTTCCACGGCTGATCCCGTAGCCCCTTTCCCTGTCCAGCTCCCAGAACCCTGACAGCCAGGTCTCTGCGCTTGGAAAGGAGTCTGGGATTGAAAGACAAGTCTCTGGAGAAACCCAGCCTCCCAGGACAAAAGCATTATTGATATGGTGACTTCCTCAATAATAAAGCTGGCTTCCAGTTCCGTCAAGGAACCGAGAGGTCCATCAACCAATGAGGTCCATTTCCAGTCAGTGTTTCAGTGACTCCCTTGTAAAATATGAATGATAGCCAAGGACCACCAAACATGTGAGGAAAGTCTTTACCATGAGAGACAGAAGACAACAAATGCACAGAAAAAAGAAACTAAAAGGAAGGAGAAAATTCAGGGAACAAATAAAATAAAACTAAGTAATAGTCTTTCAGAGTGATAGAGAAGATGTTCCTGGGGGTCAAGAACAGGAAGCCTTAAGAAAAAAAGGAAAAGAAAAGAGGAGCCAGCCTGCTGGTGCAGTGGTTAAGTTTGTACGTTCTGCTTTGGTAGCCTAGGGTTCGCCGGTTGGGATCCCGGGTGTAGACCTACGCACTGCTCATCAAGGCAGGCATCCCACATATAAAGTAGAGGAAGATGGGCATGGTTGTTAGCTCAGGGCCAATCTTCCTCAGCAAAAAAAAAGAAAAAAAGGAAAAAGAAAAAAGAAAAGAACTATTGCAAATAAGAACAATGGTTGGAAATCAAATAGGTGATAGTGAAAAAATTTTAAAAACTTATTAGAAGTATTAAAAGATACAGTGAATCCAAAAACAAAAGAAATGGACAACAAGGAAAAGAGAAGAAAATCAGAGAATCAATCCAGGAGCTCTATTAGGCAATTAACAGAAATTCCAAAAAGAAAGAAGAGAGATTGTAAAGTAGAGAACATTCTCAGAAAAATAATACAAGGAAATTTCCAGAACTGAAGGCCACATAGCTGCAGGTTAAGAAGGCTTATGGGGTACTCAGCACAATGAAAGACAGAAGACCTATACCAAGGGTGTACCACTGTGAACTTTCAGAACACCAAACACAAAGAGAGGATTCTCAGCATAAAAAGGCAATTCAAACACCAAAACTTGGGAGCAAGAATGGAAATATACTTTAACAGCAACCCTGAAAGCAAAGGTATTGAGTAGAGCAATACCCGCAAAATTCCAAGGGAAAACAATTTTCAATCTAGAATTCTATTCCCAGTCAAGAATCAGTCAATTATAAGAGTAGACTAAAGACGTTTTTGGGCATGCAAATCTCCTGACCCATGGCATGCTCAAAGCATGAGCAAACAAAGGGACCAGAACTCTGCCAGGCCGGCTGGGAACACTGAGTGACCAGTAGGGCAGAATCACAGATGGCCCAGAGGGCTACAGTGAGCACACAGGGACCCTGGAAGTAGCCCATGAAGGGCCCTTTATGTAACCCTATCCGGTAGGCAATAGGGAGCTATTGCAGATTTTGAAAAGAGGACCGAAAAGCAAATTCAAATCTGCTGCCAAACTTGTCAGTATGGAGTTAATTTCATTAAGAAAAGCATAATTGACTAAGCCTGGAGTAAGTATTCTCTTCCTTGTGTGTGTATGTGTGTAGGGTAGGGAGATGAAATAACAGTAAAAGAAACCCTTAAAACCCGACAGCCATGGCAATAAAACGAGGCTGCTGAGATACTCACAGAGGTAAACAGGAGCCAGCCTGGCAAGCCGTGACATTGCATCGGCAGCTTCATTCTGCCCCCAGTCTCGCAGCAAAATGTAAAAAATATTGTTCTTGGATCCTGATCCCAGTGTTCCCTTGTCCATGCTGCCACTCATCAACTCGCTGTTCTGGATGGTAACATCTGGAGCATAACAACGATCATGCATTTAAACAATTACTGATTACTTTGCCTCTTTCCAAAATGAATTTGAGGCAGTTGAGAAAATTTGTTCCCATACTGAAAGTTAAAGCAAATAGAAATTCTCTTTAAATATTTTTTTGAGGGGGAAAAAAAAAGAAATCTAGGAACTTTTGAAAAGCATGAAAGGCCCAGTTAGATACCCTATAGTCCTAACTCTGAAATGTGTTAGTTGACCCTCATTCTACTCATCTGTGAACTGGTGATGACAATATCCAGCACTTGTCATCTTCACGTCATGGGGATACTCTGAGCATCCATGAAATCATGCACAGCAAAGTGCGCAGTAAACTGTAAAACACTCTGTTATTCACCTAAGATATTAAAAACTAACCGTGACACCATGATGAATAGCCTACACAACAACAAAACAAAATTCACATCCAGAGTGAAACAAACACAATCTAAAACAAGAAGCCAAAGTATCTAAAAACCAGAGAGTATATGTTCAAAGGCATGGTTACACACCTGAGGAAAATCAGCGCTCTTCAAACTCTTACTCTTCACTACGAGACAGGAGAAATTCTGAAGTCCAGAGACTGCGGTGCAGTTCTCCAGCACAGAGCCCTGCAGATCCATTCTCGTCACAGGCCTTGCTAACAAAGCCCATTCTAAACCAGTGCTACTCAGGGCGGCCTGTCAGGGAAGTGCTCGTCAGGAGCCTGGGATGAGCTAAGGAGCTCACTCCACAAAGTCAGTGCTGGCTGCCTGGCACTGGTCTGTGGCTCATCCTTTGGGTTGAATTAGTCTAGATGACTCAGATGGCCTGCCTTTAAATCCTCTCACTGTTACACCTGGTCTTCATGTTATCAAAAAGTCCACTGACCAGGTAAGGCTGGTAAAAAAACTAGTCTTTTTAGTCATACTTTTTAGACAATGAACACAGTTTTGGACACAGAAAACAAAAACACCCAACCAAACAAAACAACAAACCCAAAAAACCAAAAATGGCAGAATAAAAGAAACTGCATTAACTGACAGAAACTAGTCACTTAAAGCAAAACACATTTGGAGAACATTCTTCATGTGTCTGGATCATGTGTCTACATCTTGACCTTCTAGAGAAACGGAGAATCACATCTGAGAGGAGAAACACCAGCTATGTTTCTCTGAAGAACAAACTTCCTGCCTAAGGCCTTAGAGACACGTTGGCTTTGCTCACTAGGTGAAGGAAGTTACTGGCCACTTGCTTTTCCGCCTCCCCAGCGCCCAGCCCCTTGCTGTAACTCACAGGAGTCATTGGCACACAGGTCTTCTCCTCTGCCACAGTACTGCTTGCCCTTGGTTCGCAGGTTGGCCCTCACTGGACTGTCGTCACTAGGCCTGAGGACGACACTGAAGATCTGCTTTCCCGTCCACAGCGTGACCGGCTGAAGGAGGAGAGGAAGCCAGGGCCTGGGCTCAACCGCCCTTTATGCACAGAAGGCCAGACTGGCCGGCGATCACACGCCAACCCAGCACCAACACAGGGACATCCACCCAGACACACGCATACACCTAGGTACACACACACGGCTCCTGCACAAACCTTTAGTATTGTAGGGGGTGGGAGGCGAACTTTAATTTTCTCATCCTTGCCAACCAATATTGAAGCAATGATTTGGCAAGCCTTGGCTCGGTCAAAGAAAGTGTCCTTAAGAGTGAGGAGATAGGCACCTAAGAATGTTAAGAAACAACACAAAAGGAATTAAATTGTGAGAAAATCACAAGGTTTCAGTTGTAAAATAAATTTGGACTATTACTTAAAGAGTGAGCGAAAACATATAGCTGCTTATTAGCTTCCCTCCTCCAATTAGATCTAAGCCCCACAACCGGACGGACTTTGTCTTAGCTACTGCCGTCTCCCCAGCCCTCAGAAAAACGTCTAGTATGTAAAAATGTATGGTAGGAGCTCAATAAATGCATGTTGATTCAAGGAATAGGAAGAACCAACAAACACAAAATATCTCAAGTAGGTTCAGGTCAAACTTAGTAAACAAACAACAGAATTAAACGCGGGGAATTAAATAGCTTTTCAAGTCCTCATATGAATCACTGTGAATGAGAATCATTGTGCTCCAGTCTCCTTTCAAGTGAATTTCACAAACCTACCTGTTAGAAAATCCTGAATAGCAGCAATTAGTGGTTCTCCATTCCTTGGTGTTACAAGGTTTGCCTTAGTCTAAAGGGAAAATAAACAGAGTAAGTTAGCCATTCTTGAAGGCAGGATGCAGTCCAAAGATTTGTACCATAAACACTTTGAATTTTTATAATAAACAGAGTAGCAAAAAGATGAGGCTGAGAAATGGAAACCAAGAGGTCTTAATCCCAGCTTTTGTCACTAACTTCCATTTCCTTCATCTGTCAAGGGGAGAGAAAAAACACCAGCAAGACTGATCTCAGAGGTTCCCACCAACACTAAAACAAAGTGCCGAGTGAAGTGTTTCGGATTCCTGTAAAGAACTCTACTTATGTAAAACTTCATTGTCATCAACAAATGCACTTCTCCAAAGAAAATTCACTTCTATGAATGAGTAGCACTGTGTTATCTTTGAAGTCAATCAATTCCACACTTCTCCAGAACGATGGCAGAATCGTGAAATTTCTCATTTAAGACATTAAGTTCTAACAACAAACAATTCAACAACAGGATTTAACTAAACTTAATGAGTGCCTATATTGGGCAAAAAAGGATGCTAGTTGTTCAACGCACAGTTGAACTGAAGGAAGGTTCTGTGCATCAGAGGGCATCAGCTCAAATCTCGACGTGGAGGTGCTCACACACATTTGTGGGTTTTCCGGACCTCTCCACCCAGAGACCTGTTCCTGCCTTCTGAACAGAGAGTGACCCTCCGACTGGGCGGGGAAAGCAGTGACCCTCTGACTGGGCGGGGAAACAGTTGGTCACTTCTGTTTACAGAAGCTCTTTGTGGTCAGAGCTAGGGGTCTGTGGGTGGGAGCAGAGGGCGTGAGGCTGAGACGTGCGTATTCTGTAAAAGCCTCTCGGGTAATGTGGGCCCACAGTCAAGGCAGCACCCAACCTGCTCTACTGAGACGGGACTACTGAGTCAGTACAGCAGACAGCAACTTCTCACGTGAACGGAGGGCATCTGTCCAGATGGCACCTATGGATTTTTCTATCCTTGGAGCCTGTGTTTTATTGCTGTCATTTTTAACCAGTGAAGTATGTTGTGATAACAAAATGGATGCTCAATAGCAAAGTCTAACTGGCTGGTTGCAGGCTGATGGCTATTAGCACTAGTAACATTTTTTTTTTTTTGGGGGAAGATTAGACCTGAGCTAACATCTGCTACCAATCCTCCTCTTTTTGCTGAGGAAGACTGGCCCTGAGCTAACATCTGTGCCCATCCTCCTCTACTTTATACGTGGGACGCCTACCACAGCATGGCTTGACAGCAGTGCCATGTCCGCACCCGGGATCTGAACCAGGGAACCCCGGGCCGCTGAAGCGGAACGTGCAAACTTAACCACTGCCACCACCGGGCTGGCCCCTACTAGTAACATTCTAAACATTACTTTTTATTACAAAAATTATACATGTTAATTATAGAAAAAATCTATAAATATAGACAAGTCAAAAAAAAACCAACCCCAAAAGCCACAAAACCCTCTATGCATGAACTGCTAAACAAAAAGAACTACTGTTCAAAGCTTTGGTATATAACCTTTCATCTTTTTGCTATAAACACTTTTACAAACATATAAGCATCTATTACCAAACAAAATATGATGATGTCGTACACACAACCTTCTTTTAGTCAAAAGTAAGTCATAAATAGCTTCATGCCAATAAGTATACAACTATGTCACCATGTTTAAGGGCCACACGGGATTCATTGTACGGATGTGACATAATTTAATTTAACCAATCTCTTATTGGTAGACATTGCCTGTTTCCAGTGTCTTATTACAAGTAATTTTGCAACTTTGATTATTTCCTCTGAAGATATTACTGGAAACGAGAGTGCAAAATCAGACAGAATGACTGTACTGATCTAGTTACCCTGTGACTGCGGGAGTGCAGAAGAACTCATTCATGGCTGCCCGCCCTTCAACCTGCTTCTCTCACCATCCACCAATACCCAACACAGCACTTACCACAATAGCTGCAAATACGAGAACTTAGGAGAAGACAGGCTAGGCTCTTGTTACTCCCCCCGGATGATCATACCATTGGGCCTTTGCACCCAATGTTCTCTGCTTAAACTGTTCTTTTCCTGACAGTCAATACTGCTCATTCTCTCACTTCTTTCAGAACTCAACTCGAATGTGACCTTCCTAGGGCCCTCTCAGACAATTCTATACAAAACAGGACCCCTCTTATTCTTTCTTCCTTGCCCTGCTTAATTCTTTTCTTCATAGCACTTATCACCACTTGAAGTATTTCATATTTGTTTAGTCTCTGTCTCTCCCCACTATGAATAGGGACGAAAGCAAGAGTTTTGACTTTCTTATTCACTGCTGTGTTCCAGAAGTGTGCTTGGCACACAGTAGGCGCTCAGTAAGCATCAACTCAATCATTTTAAAAGGCCAAGGAGTCTTAAGAAATAATTCAAAAGAAAGACTCTAAATGTATACAAAGACATCCCTTGAGGGATTCATTCTCAAAGGAAAACACTCAATTTTCAACAACAGAGGGTAGATGAATCATGGTGTGCTAACTTGGTGAATACTGTAAAGCCACTACAATCAATAATTATGCAGACTCTCTAACAAATAGGGTATTTATATTAAGCAAAAAAAGGGAAAACAAAGGCTATTCTAAACTATGACCACAACCATCTAAATTCATGGATAAGGAACAAACAGATAAAAGACGTAAAGAAAAAAGAAAAGTTGTGATGTGTAGAAACCTTACTGTTATTTAACTAAATCCCATTACACTAGAATGTTTGATTAAATAAGAATCAATATTTAAAAAAGCTGATGGGGCCGGCCCCATGGCCGAGTGGTAAAGTTCGTGTGCTCCGCTTTAGTGGCCCAGGGTTTCGCTGGTTCGGATCCTGGGTGTGGACATGGCACCGCTCAAGCCATGCTGAGGCAGCGTCCCACATGCCACAACTAGAAGGACCCACAACTAAAAATACACAACTATGTACCGGGGGGCTTTGGAGAGAAAAAGGAAAAATAAAAAAAATCTAAAAAAAAAAAGTTGAAAACCTGTCTATTTTAGCCACATGAATTTCTTAGAATTAATAAATTCTCCAAACGGTAATTTAAACACGTATACAAAATACATGACACATTAAATACTTCATCCTCAGAAAAGATATGCCAACTTCTGCCGTGAAGAAGCCAGGCGAGGGCATGAAGGCAGCCACCACTCCACCAAATCCTCCTTTTAACAGACCTGCCTGCAGAACCTCGTGCCTTTACTTTAGAATCGATACTAAAACCTGAAACAAAAGTGGATTAGAAGCATTCTATCACGAATGGTCGTGTTTCTGGAGGTAGGTACACTTATAACCACAAGACATATCGGTTCATAAAACCAAAAACTAGAATACTGGAAAAAAGAAAGACTTAAGCTCTAAAAACTCAACGGTTTGAGGCCATTAAGCTTAGGAGGCAAGAGTCCCACACAGCAGGGACCACACAGCACTGCGCCACGGCTCGGTCCAGAGTGAACAGTACATAACCCACAACTGGAGCCCAATTCTAAGCTCCTCAAGAATAGGCATCTACCTCCCCCATCACTGAACTCCCTCAGCATCGACCAGGCACTCCTTACCTATGGTAAAATAAAATGGTGGTAAGAGTCATTACAGAATGACTACGTTTAGTGCCTCAGAAGACAAAGAAGCATGTAATACACTTTGAGGTTCCATTCAAAATGTTCAATAAAATGTACTGCTGCTTACAGAATCTGTAGCTACTGGAAAATCTACGTATGCAAAACATCTTCTTTTTCCCATGACACCCAACAGTCAAGGTATTGCCACTCTCTCGTCTTATCTTTTTATAACTGGTGCTCATGTAAATATTTTCTCTCAGGAACTCATCTTAGAGGTTAGAAAATACCCACTCCTCCTAATCAGTGCCTTTTACAGACACTAACTCCCTTATATACTATAGGGTGTTTTCAAACAGGGCACGTTCCCTTTCCCTTGCTTTCAAGGAGCTGTTACACAGAAGCTGTGCCACACCACCCTACATACCCCCATCAGAACAAGGGCCTCTGCTTTAGCTTCTTCTGTTTGAGGAAGATGAAGGTTCATTTCATCACCATCAAAATCCGCATTGTAGGGTGTACACACACACTCGTTAAATCTGAAGGTCCGGTGCGGCTTGACCCTGGCCTGTGGAACAGAAAACAAAACAGGAGAACTCAGTCTTTATCCAAAAGCTTTCTCAGTTTCAAAATATTAAAAAATGGGTTCCAGAAAACTGGAAACTTCACATCAAGGAAATAAACTTCTAGTACATTCTGTCAAATGATATATATACTTGTAGACTCATTCAGTAGCTTTATTAGATCAAACCAATGCAGTGAACTTGCTTTAAACTACGAGGCAAACACCAACACTGGAGCCACATGAAGGGGCTCCCACTGGCCAACGATATCTAGTTTGATACCAAAAAGATTAATGGCAGAAGCTGATTAAATAAAAACCCATGAGTTTATAATGACACTGAAAAAAGGGAAAGCCAAAACAAACAAAGAAGTTAAAAAACCCAAACCAACCTAGCTGGAAGTAACTGAGCACCAACTTTTACTCTGCAAACTGACAATAAAGGGAAAAGAATCAGGCATTTATGCTGCCTTTCCTTTACGAACTGTATTTCTAGGTAAACCAACAGCCCTAGTCAACAAGCGAAATTCTTCAGTGTAAGAACGCTATGTATTATACGTGAAAGGAATGATAAATTAGAGAATCCCCATTCTGCAGCCCCAATGAAATAATGTAGGCAACAATCATAAATGGATGAAACCATTAGAAAAGAGGTGGATGAGGAACATTTCAAGGAAGACATCAGTTGAATCCCTCAACTTTTTAGTATAAATAAAAGTTCCGCGGCCAGACAGCATGCGGCTCATGAAATTCAGCAAGAGGAAGTAGCCAGCACCACTCATGAGTTACTTTTGCCAGAAAGTTGAACCTGAATCTGATCATGCCTTGTGAGTTAACTTCTAGTTTACAGGAATAAAAGGAAGAATGAAGAAATCCCTAATGCCATGCTGATACAGACAAATTGAGAACATGGGACATCCTTCAGGACAAATGACCCAGTTTTTTCAACAATCACATTGACATTAAAAAAAGGAGTACTGCTCCTGATCAACAGACACCTAAGACATGTATCAACCAAATGTAATGTGTAGACTCTGTTTGATTTGAACAAACTAGCCACAAAAAGATATTTGAGACACTTGGGGAAATCTGGCTATGGACTGGGTACTAGAGAACACCAAGGCATGGCCCTCCCTCCTGTGAGGCGGGAATGGCAGGTGCTCAGGTGTTTCTCACAGAAGTAAACTGAACACAGACGGAAAAAAGACATGCCATCTGGGGGCTGGCCCCGTGGCCGAGTGGTTAAGTTCACGCACTCCGCTGCAGGCGGCCCAGTGTTTTGTTGGTTCGAATCCTGGGCGCGGACATGGCACTGCTCATCAAACCACGCTGAGACAGTGTCCCACATACCACAACTAGAAGAACCCACAATGAAGAACATACAACTATGTACCGGGGGCTTTGGGGAGAAAAAGGAAAAAAATAAAAAAATCTAAAAAAAATAGAGGAAAACATCTAGCAATGTTAAAAAAAAAAAAGACATGCCATCTGGGTCCATCAAAGAAAAAAGGGAGAAATAAAACAGGTGAGGCGAAAACTATTGAACAAAAAGGATGGGGATACATGAGTTCATCCTAGTCTTCTTGGTACTTTTGTGTCTTTTTGAAAAATTTCAAACCAAAAAATTTTCTATTTTAAAAATGCTCCAAAGCCAAGCAAAACTTTCCAGAAAGGGAAGGCTTTTGTTCACTAAATCCCATGATCATAACCCCACAATCATAAACTGCTTCTGACTGATGTCATGTGTTCAGAAACTATTGAAAAGCTAAATCTAAAAAAACCACCTGAAGAGCCTATTTAAACACTGTTTGCAAATGTTCATGGATTTAATGGCTTTGCAGACAGAATTCATGACTATTTAACACATTAGAGTTCCACCTCATTTCCATTTTAAATCTCCAGAAGAAGGAACTGCTGCTGTTGCAAAACTGAATCACAAAAAAAATATGGCTTAAGGTCTTAGTCGGAGCACTACTGCAAAGAAAAATCTTTTAAGCATTTTAGTTCCTTAGTTAATACACTAAGTTAAATCCAGAGTCAATTTTCTGCCATATCTACTTTACCTAAGTTTGCACACATATATCTATGTATGTGTTTTTGTTTGCAAGTGAAATCATGCCCGTTACTTCGACACTAATTTTCAATTAGTTCCTCTCTGCTTACTGTTGTATATGATTATTACATTATAAGTATTAAAAACATTGAAGGAAAGCTTGAAATTTAAAAGTTTTATTCAAACTCAAAAGTGACAGAAGAGGAAAATCAAAAGTTATGAAAATTTGAGATTATTGTCAATTTTAATTTTGGAGGTCCAGAATCCAGCATTGCATTCACAACAAACTTCAACCTGACAGAAAGTAAACATAGAAATCTCCTACTCACCAGATGTGCCATGATGCTCAGTTTGTGCAGCGAGGGCTGTCGATTGAACAGCACCACATCTCCATCTATGAGGTGTCTCTCTACGATGTCCCCAAACTTGAGCTCCTGAGCCATCTTTTCCCTATTTCCGTATTTCAAAAACCTGAACGTACAATAACAAACATGATCTGGAGAACAAAATTCCTTCACCAAGTTTCTCCTTCTTCATATCAGGATTCAATCACTAAAATGATCATATTTCATTGAATCTAAGGTGTATAAGCTGCCAATTAAACTATAACAAATTGATTCTAAGATAGTTCCTAATCTTAGAATGTTAAAATATGAAGAGTGTGTCCCAGAATCACAGAACTACAGTAGTGACCCAGCTTCTCCCACAGAGCCCTGTTGATAAAATCCTTTCATGAGATAAAAGGCACTGGTGCTCAGTCATCTTGCTGTGAAAGCTGGAGTTGGAGAAATACATGCCTCCTGGGTTATGATTACACTGAAGGAATGCTGGAGAGCCCAGGTGACACAGATAATGATCCGCTTTTGTACCCCAATGTGTTCTGTCCAGCTAGATCCAGTAACGCTAAATGCCGGGGAACACTTCGTGTATACTCCACGGTCAAAGAGAACGAATGATGCACCTAGGCTCAGTGCAATTTAAACAGGTATTTTCCTCATACCAAAACGACATGAGACAGTGGTTACGTTCAACTAGACTGGGAAACCATCACCTTTTCATCTGTGTATGTCTCTGCTGAATGAAATTGGCTCCAGGGTGAACTTCAGGGCCATTTTGAACCAGTTTCCTCAAAAAATTGATGTTTGCTTTGTTCACCTGCAGGACCACAATAAAAAACACACTGAGATGCTATTGGGTTTCTGTAAGTTAGCACACTGTACTGAACTGTGTCTCCACCTTGACTTTCCTTGTGTAGATTCTAGGAGAAGGAGAGGGACCCCTGGGAATCCTGCTGCCCAGGGTCTTGAGAGTAACAAGAAAAATGGATTGCACACAGGAGCCCAGGTTCCAGTCTCAACTCACTCACTCACTTGCTGGCTGACATTGCCAAGTGTTTTACTGGCCTTTGGTTTTCCCATCAGTAAAATGAGTGGGCTGGACTTGATCTGGAGGGAACTTGCAGCACATTCTGCAATCTTAGAAACAGATGGCAGCTTCCTCTGTAAGCTTTACCATGGGCTTCTAATGTTTAAAAGCCGTGACAGCAGCACTAAAGGCCCTGTAACCTTGTGGACAAGTCTGGTGGAACACCATGTCAGAGAAGGAAACTCTGGATCATTGTAACTCAACTGAGGACATTTTACACAAGCTTTACCAGGAGCATCTATGACCTGGGCTAATTATGAATCTCAAGGGCAAAGCCAAAGGCAATCAATAGCCTTCTGTTATCAGGCCCTGCTGTCATCTACACATCAGTTACACAAAAAAATACTGTAAATACCATTTTACATTCAGGATGAGGGTGAACTGAGTGTAAAGTGGTGCACCCTTTCTGGTTAGGCATCAAGAACCTTAAAGTATTCAAAGTCTTTGACTCAGTGATTCTAAGGTTTTAAAAATAATACTCTATCCTAAGACAATTAACTAGGGGTGGCATTTATCCCTTAGTTACATGTAAAACATGAAGTATGAACTAACATAGAAAGATGTCCAAGACGATATTACTTGGGGAAAAAAGCTGCAGTACAGCATGTTTATATACACACATAAAGCCAAATACGACTGTGGTTGTGTATGTTGTAGAAATTATACATGGTGATATATGAATGAAACAAACTGGAAAGACACACACACTCACACACAGCAAACTGTGGGTTACTGGGGATTTTCCACTGTCCGTTGTTTGTAATCTCAAAATATAATGTAAAAGACTGGACTCAAAATAAAAAAGCGAGCAGCTGAATGGTACTTACTTTCTCAGGAAAAGTTAGAATTTTGGCCACATGAACTGGCACAGCTACCTCATCAATCCGGAGGTTGGGGTCGGGTGAGATGACAGTTCTGCCAGAAAAATCCACTCTCTTTCCTGAGAGATTGCCTCTAAATCGACCTTATAAAAAAAAAAAAAGAGTGATAGGTCTCCAGCACAATGTGTACTGTTTGGGGGTGACATGGCCAGACAGACTGAGGAAGGCCTGTGATGTCCAACTTGCTGTACTGGACATACACTCCACAAAGAGGGTAACAAAGGCAGGACACTGTCTGCTGCACATTCTGTTGGAAATATACCCTGTTTTCCCTTCAGGCGCTGGACGAAACCTCTGGTCCATTTCTTGGGTGCCATGTTGAGGGGAATGCCTGAGAGCTCACTGTTAATATAGAGGGCACACTGCAGCTGCAGAAAATCCCAGTCCTCCATGATCATCTGGGTCTTAGCTCCTGATATCCGATGCTGAAAACGAGCAGAGAATGAACAGAAACAAGCCTGGTCAATTTGACTTTTTTGATCAGAAGTGTTTGCACAGATATACTCCAAAACTTAGGGCTTGGAAATGCTAACGGGAAGGAAGCACTGACCTTTTTAATGACATCATTTAGGAAAATTATTTCTGTTAATTTCATCGTCAAATCATCTTCATTGGTGCCAGACTTCAAATCGCTCACAACAGAGGGTCTGATACACAAAGGAGGCACTAAAAGTCGTGTGAGAATCAAATCAGAGGGCTTTCCAGCTTCTGGGTTCATCAGAAGGAGAGGTACATCTTCAGCTGGGATTCGTTTAAACAAATTAAGAACTACTAAGGGATTCAAGTTTTCCTATGGAATGAGAGAAAGCAATGGAGATATATGTTAATTTTCCATAGCCTGGGCAACAGGCTAGTTGTCCACGTTCTCTAACCTACCCACCACTTAACTTAAGCATAAGTGACGGCAAAGACTTCTGTTGATCACATGCTACGTTTTGAGAGCCTTAAAAAATGTGCATACTTTTACTCAAATTATTTAAGCCAATAATTCCACTTCTTATAATTATCTCAAAGGGTATACATACTCTTAGAAATGAACACAAAGATTCAGTTACAAGGACGTTCACTAAACCTGTTCTTAACAGTGGAAAGTTGGAAACAGCCTGATAGGTTACTGGCCAGACAAAAGCATGGTATGGAAAACTATGGAAGCCATTTTAAAAAACGACACCAAAGAAATGTAGCTATTACCATGAAAGGTGTTCACAAAATATTGGAAAATGAAATAAGCATGTGTATGACAGGATCTCATTTTGGGGGGAAAATGGACATCTGTACAGAAAACAGGAAATGGAAGAGTCTAACCAATGTGTTAACAGGGCTGTCTTTAGGTGAGTGGAATTATAATCTTTTTGCTTCTTTTTTACATTCAAATTTTCCGTAAACTTTTATTGCTTTTGTATTAACTTCATTTAACAGAAGTGCTAGGCTGTAACAAGTTACTCATAAGAACTATGTGAATTATCAGAGATGTTCAAAGATCAAAGGTAAGAAGGGTCAGCTTGTGTCTTGTCGCTGCTTATTAACTCTTCTTAGGATCTAAGCTTGTTTGACTGCGATGATAAGTTACAAGCAGAATCTGCTGTGCATAACTTAATGAGAAGGGGAACAAAGTGAAGAAAGGGATGTTTGAGCAGCTACTGGCCTTAGAAACACTCCCGCACAAAGAAGTTACTGTGGCCCCCCTGGAGGAGAGGGCAGTGGAGCTGGGGAGAAGGAAGGTTTTCTAGTCTGGGTCCCTGCCCAGAGAAGGATTCCCTGGGTCAGCTTCCCCATCTCCCAGCAATGGGCACCTCACTACCACCTGAAGCAGTAAGGCAGCAAACTGAAAACTCACAGACTCCTAGGAACGGGATGAAGGCTGGCCCTCTTCTGCAATACCAGTCATACTAGACAAGAACATCATGGAGCTGAGGGATGTCCAGGAGGGTAGGAAGACTGGCAAGAGTCTGGAAGGCATTTCTTAGCAAGAGCAGTGACTCAAGAGTGACAGAACAACTGCCTCTCCAGAGGCACACAGAAGCAGCTGTTGCCTTATTCTGTCATGCAGCAGGAAAGAGAAATCAGGGACTGATGGAGAGAGCACAAGCAGGGCTCTTATACAAGGCAAAGCATCCTAACAGCTGGAGCTCTCCAGCGATGGAGGGCAGGCTGCCTCGGGCGATGGTGAGATAACATGGCTGGAAGGATGTCAGCTAGGGCAGCCTGTCACCCACTTGTCCAGGGACTTCATGGAAGGCATTTCTACCTGCTGAAGAGACAGGACTGATGCCATCTATGGAGGGACACTTGTCTGCAGGTCCACCAATGCCTGGACTTGTATTCAAATTGGAAGTAGATATATATTAGTCTTCTGGGAATAGAGTCCAGAGGTTTGGTCCAATTCCCAAAGGGATCTGTGACCCCGAAAAGGTCAAGAACCACTGCTCTAGGGTCTGTTCCAACTCAATCATGCTGTGCTGCCCATAAAAGCATAAGGTTTCATATTCCTAAAAATTAAGCGGGCAGGTAAACATGTGAGGACACGGACCATCCTGAGATTAATGAGCTGTGGGGCAACAAGCCCACTTGCTTACACACTGCCCCTCTCCATAAAAAGTAAATGTAACTCAATAATGCTTCATTCACTCAGCTGAGTAAGGAGCCCTCTCTGAGAAAGGGCCACCTAGCATTAGGCAAATGGTGGATTCATGCCTTGCTTCTCCCTCCTTTCCCAGGTGATCTACGAAGAGCCAGGCTGAGCTGCCACGAGGGCCTCAAACAGGACCTCAGTAAAATGGGTTGTGAGACAGACCAAGCCTAAGCAAAGAAACCAGCGAAAATACAAGATGGAGCACAAATATTATACAAGGCACAACGCACATGTGGGTGAGGGAAGGGTGGGATCAAAGGAAGGTCCAGATAGCTGAGGAGGCTGCATGGAAGAAGCTAAGAGATGGGGGATCCTGGTGCAGAGGGGGCGGGGGGCTGGGGGGGGCTTCATTAAGCTGAAGGGACACCATGAGTCCAAGCACAGAGCAGAGGTGGAGGAAACCTCAGCTGTCTTTATCATGACTCATTATTCCAGGCATGTCAGTAGCAGTGACAATTATCACTGCAACTGGGTAACGGGCTCTAGGCACTCGCTCTGCACAGGCACTGTGCTAAGCACCTGATCTGGAATTCGTCTCTCATCCTCACAAAAGCTCTAAAGCAGATACGCGAGCTCCAGGTTGGGTCATGTGTCTGAAGACACAAGCGGCAGAGCTGGGCCCTAATCTCAGGTCTGTCTGACCCCAAAGCCAAAGCTCTTAACCACTAAACCACTACCCTAAACAACCTCTGGGTCACCCTGGGTGAAGTGAGATGGGGCGGACTGGGAGGTGGTGGCAGTGAGGAATGCCCAAGAACCCAGCTTGACATGATAGACAAGTGAGTCTTAAATGGGACAGGGTTAACTCCTGGGTCGAGTCATTGAGGAGACTTTTCCAAACAAGATGCTCCCAGGCCCTAGAGAGAATTGTTGCTACTGCGGAGAGTGTGTGGAGCAGAGAAGAGGATCAGTCCTCAGCGAGGAATGACAGTGGCCGCAGGTTCCCAGGCAGAGAGCTGCCTGGGGAAAATGGTGGTGGAATGTGGGGGAGGCTGATCTGGGAGCAGCAGGGGGAGTGTAAGGGAGACTACAAGTAAGGCTGCACCCACGAAAGCCCTCATGCTCGCTGACCAAGGCTGCTTGCCAGGCTTCTGACCTCCTCTACACAGCCACCAGCCTGGAGAGCACCTCACTTTCACAGCTGTAGAAGGACAAGATCGACTTTCTCAGCCTGCTCCTTAACTTTCTCTGCAGTAGCTTCATTCTAACGCCTTGAAGACATCTCCACTTAAACGAATCGCTGCTGCCCTCCATCCTCATTTCTAGGAGAACGACCATTTTTCCTGATGCCAACGCATGGGCACTTGTTCACCTCCGATCACTCCGTCTCACATGCATCTCCACAGTGGCTGGTCACCAATTCCTGCCCATTCTCATTGCATACAATGACTCTGGCCTCTGGCTCTACTATCACTACCCAGATTCAAGGTCTGTTTTCCTTTTACCTTCTGTTTTTTCAAATCAAAGCATAATTTACATATAGTACACTTCACAAATCTTAAAGAGACTGATACATTTTCACATGTATACACCTGTACATACATACCACCATTCAGATCAAGATATGGAATATTTCTACCTCTCCAAAAAGTACCCTGCCACTCTTCTTCAGTCACTACCAAGCCCTCTCCCCACGGGTAACAGCTCTCCTGAAGTCTATTACCACAGATCAGTCTGGCCTGTTCCTGGACTTGATCTAAATGGAATCACACACTACATACTCTTCTGTATAAAGCTTCTTTCTCTCAGCAGGATTCTGAGACTCAGCCAGGTTGTGTGTGTTAGGAGTTAATTTCTTTTATTGCAGGAGAGTATTCTATTGTGTGGGTCTATGACAATTTATTCTCCTGTTGACAGGCATCTGGGCTATTTCCAATTTTGCTTTTTATTAATAAAGCTGTAATGAACATTCTTACAAATATTTTTGTGGACATATGCACTCATTTCTCTTGGGTATATACCTAAGAGTAAACTGCTAGATCATATGTTAAGTGTAGGTTTAACTTTATAAGAAATTGCCAACTGTTGTTCAGAGTGGTGGTAGCATTTTATATTGCACTCAATGTATGAGTGCCAGCTGCTTCAGATCCTTGCAAGCACTTGGTTTTTAGTTTTTTTACATTTTAATTTTTCTAGGTGGGGAAGTTTAGTTAGCATTTCCCTGATGACTAATAACATTAAGCAACTTTTCATTTATTTATTGGCCATTTGAATATATCCTTTTGGAGACTGCCAATTCAAGACCTGCCCCTACTTTTTAAAATTGAGTTGCTCTTTTCTTACTGATTTCTAAGAACTGTTTCCTATATTCTGGATATAAGAGCCCTTGTCAGATATATGAACTATGATTATTTTCCCCCAGCCCACGGCCTACCTTTTCACTCGGTGTCTTTTGGTGAGCAGTCAGGCTCTTCTAAAATTTCATTGTTTATTCATTACATCCCTTTCCTGCTCAAAACCTTCCATGGCTCCACACCTGCAGAGCAGGATGCTCTCTACAAAGTAGCCTCAGTAGTTTGTCTTTTCTATGCATAGTCGTGTACTCTAGTTGTGTTGGCTAGAATTCCTGCTACATCACTCACTGTCATCTTGGGCAGTGCTGTCTCATAGGGTTGCTGTGGGGATTAAACATGAGGCAATCCATGCAAAGAACACGGAACAGTGCCTTTACGTAACAGCAGTTACTAAATGCAAGGAGCTTCTATTAGCACTCTCTCTGGTCTTTCAAACAGAGCCTCAGCTTCAGAATGAGCCTAGACACTGCTACCTGGACATGCCAAGCTCACTGCTCTTGACTCTTTAAACCGTACACAGGTTTAAGGACCAGATCCAGATCAAGCTACACCTCTCTTCCTGTCTCCCATAACCAAATCCAAGTGACACCTTCCTCCTGATTTCCCACTGAACTTGCTGTCTTTGTCATTCGCATGACAGTCAGCACTCCGCCCCATGATATTAGTTATCTTTTCACCGATTAATGGCTACTCACACATCAAAACTGCGGGATCCTTGAGAGCAGAGTGTTTTGCAGCCTGAGGCTCCCCCAGGGATCTGACAGAGTTTGGTATTCAGTAGCCACTCAACTAATTTGCTAGTTTTCTATACTAGCAATTCTAGACAGTACTATATGAGTTAGTACTAATCAAAATCAGAGTAAGACAAAACAAGACACTTCATAAAATTCTAGCAGTTAAGTTTGTGCCAATTCAAGTAACGGGAGCTACCTGCCATTTCTTGTATCCCATCATCCATGTGAGAACAGGATCTCTCAGTTAATGCTCTACATAGCTATAATTTTATAATCTTTTACAACAAAAATATAACATGTAACCTATACAATTAAAAATTTGTTACTTCCAAGGCCAGTCCACATTAAACTTAGTGCTAGATGAACATCTGTCACATGAAGCATACCTGGAATCTAACTTAACTGGACACTCATTTTGGAAGAAGGTTTGTATATCAGAGGGGGGAGCAAGGACAAGGTGGAAGGGGCGGCAGGAAGGGGCAGGCTCACCTGTGCCCTTCCCAGCAGGGGCTCCACTTCTTTGTTATGCTCAATGGCAGTTTCAAAAGACTGAAGGAAATTTGATACAATAGGATCCACCACTTTTTTGTTGGTCTTGTATTTCTCATGAATTATCTTCAGCAATCCACATTTCTTTACAGTACCTATAACAGTTATTTTATTTATCAAGGTTTGAAAAACTAGGTTCTTGGTTAGGCTGGCCTGAGGTTACAGTTTGGTTAGTGAAATTACTGAAACTGCTCCAGCAATGAAAGACAAGAGGCACACATCAGGTACTGGGCTCTAAAGCCTAATTTGCAAGAAAAAAGCTAACTTGGAAACACTGAATAAAACAAATAAACTAAACAGGAGAGAGTAAATGAAAAGGGTTATCATTAAGCTTCTATGCATTCCTCTCACCATTAAAAGCACCACAGTGTTGGCAGATGTTTTTCTTTCGGCACTTATCAGAGATTTTCTTTTTCAGTCCTCGCTTCTGAAGGTAGGTTAGGCCGGGCCTCTTTAGATAATCCAGAAACTGCTTCTTCTCCTCCTGGGACAGCATGATGTGGCAGCAGGTTTTACAGATCATCTTTTAAAAATTAAACAAAATAGACAAAAGGATCAGAGAGGACAAAAAAGTCTTTTCTTTTTAAAATGCCACCCCTACCTCCTGCCCAGGACACTTAACAGATGGATCACACGCACAGATCTACACGAAGATACAGAAAGGCAGCTCGTGTTCATCAAATGCTAGCTGTAGCCACAGCCAGGTGACTATGGATTTTTGTTAACTTTTATTTACTTATTTTTGTGCTGTTCTGAACTTGAATTATTATTTTTTACAATGCATATCTACCACCTACTCAAGAAAAACAGGGAATAAAGAATTTAAAGCAACTTAATTTATTCCAAGATGAAATGTTATGTGTCTAGTATAAAAATTTTCCCTCGATGGATCCCCCACCATTCACAATTCCTAAGCTCACTCCAATGCCTCAGATCAATAACTCCCAAGTTTATGCCTTGAGATTCAACACATACATGCTTACCTGTAAGATGCCTATAACTGCTCTGAAGTACCCAACATGAAAACAAGGCAATTCCAAGTCAATGTATCCATAGTGGCCCAGACAGTCAGCCAAGTTTTTCCCACAGGTTTCACAAGGACGGTCCTTCTCACTCGTACCCTTTGGATAAAAGCACACTCAATAGTCAATGGAGACCACTGGACGCGAAAGTGGGACTGGTCCTCCTAGGTGTCCAGGAGACTAAGTCAGAATCATCTGGGAAGCTGCAGTGTACTGCTATCTAGCTGACTGACGGCTAGAGTCCCTGACTGGGTCTGAGATGTACGGGGGGAATAGAGGAGATGGAGAGATGCCCTCGCTTCTTCCAATCTGGTAAGGCACCAGTTTCATCAAATCAAAATACAGGACCGAGGAAGGGGAAGGGAGCTTACCATCCTATGGTCAAGCACCCCATACAGCAAGGGAGCATGGTTGTTGTCCTGGCTGTACAGGTTCTTACTCACAACCTGGATGTGCGCCTGCTGGCGCATCTCCTCGGGGGACTTCATTCCAAAACAGATGTGGCTTCTGGAATGGAAAAGGGAGCAATTACATCAAAACAAGCTACCAAAAACAGTGATTACACAAGTGACCACCATAACCAACCTTATCCTTCCAACTCTCTACAGGCTTTGCTCTACCAGTATTAAATATATTCAAACCTCTCCCATTTTTCTTTGATAAACATCCCTCCAATTTGCTGCAATCCAGGTTCCACTCTCACTATCAAACGAACGGTGCCCACCAAGGCCACCAAGTCCACCTGATTGCTGCTAAATGAGTAAGAACTTTCTCATGTTACCTCTCTGCAGCATGGGCAGTTACTCATCCCCTTATCTTGAAATACTTTCTTCTCTTGGCTTTGGTAACCCCATATACCCTGAGTTTTCTTCCTCTCTCTGGCTGCTCCTTAAGTCTCTTTTATGGTCTCTTCTTCTACCGCCATCCCTTAAATACTGATGTCTCTCCCCACCTAGGGTTACAACTCCCAACCTCTTTTCTTTTCATTCTACACATTCCTCCTGAGCGACTATGTCACTCGGGTACATGCTGATGTCTGTCTAATCTCTCTCTGTAAGCCAGCTACTTCTACCTAGCTGAAGACTGTATAGACACCTCCTTCTGGACAGCTACACTTGGATATCACACAAGCACTTCAAACTTGACATATCTAAAACAGAAACCAATACTTCCTCTCCCAAATCTGTCCCTTTGTTCATTCTTCCAACAAATTGGGGGTTTACTATTGCTATCACCATTCTGAGGGGCTGACGATACAGATTAGATAAGACAGACAAGGTCCAGCCTATGTGTAGTTCAGTGTGGGGAAGACAGACAATAGACAAAGAGACACGTAAAAATGAGTAGACGCAGAGAATGAAAATGATGTGAAGTGGTAGAGAGAGTCTGAAGAGACAACCATATGTTGTGTGGTCAGAAAATCCCTCTGTAGAACTGGCCTTTAAGTTGAATTCTGAATAAGAGGGAGCCAGCCATAGGATGATCAGGAGGTCAAGCATTTGAAGTAGACACAGTAACTAGGGAAAGGGTCCTAGGAGCAGCACAAGCTTGGTGTTTTTAAAGAACCAAATAAAACCAGTATACTAGAGCACAGAAAGCTAATAGTACCAGATGAAGTCAGCGAGATGTACAGGGGCCAGGTCATGTAGGGCTTGGGAACTTTCATGGGGAATTTAAATGTTAGTGCAATGGAAAGCTCCTAGAGGATTTTAAGCTGAAGTGACAAGGATTTAATGTGCACCTTAACAGAATCACTTGGGCACTCTGTGAGAACAGACTACATCCGAATATGGGCAGCATGGGTGTGAGGGACCAGGGTGGATATAGAGAAACCACTTGGAGGATTCATCCAGGTAAGATACATATTCCCCATTCCAGTGAGTGGCAAGCATCCACACAGCTGCCCAAGCAAGACATTGCACATCAATCTCATTTCTCCCTTACTGCATTCCTACCAATCCTGTCAATTTTTCACCCTAAACTCTTCTGAAATCCACTTCTCTCCAAAGACTCTACCATTCTAGTGCAGGCCATCACCACCCCTGCCTGGATGCCTGCAGTGGACTCCAAGGTCTCTCTCTTATTCTGTCCCCCGAAAATCAAAAGCGATCTTCCACAAGAAGAGCTTTTATCAAGACACTCCCCTGCTTAAAACCCTTCAAAGGTTCCTCACTGACTGCAAGATGACTCTGGAACACAAATTTCCTGCTTTGTTCCCATTGTCCACCCTTTCCCCCTCCAGTATGCTCCCTGAAGAAGGCTGTTTGGTCTGCTTTGTTCTGCTTGAACCCCTTTCCCATTCGGTGCTCTTAGAACTCCCCATGCCTACCCTTGTCCTTGCACGTGTCATACCCTGTGCTGATTTGTCTACCTTCTCCAACTGGACAAGGCAGTAAAGGTCTTATTATGTTGTCTCTCTAATGCCTATCATTGGGCCTAGCACACACTACCTTCCTCAGCAAGCGTCTACTGCAAGAATGACTGATTCTTTTTTCTCCTGGAAGCTCTAAGGAGAGGCCATGGCTTTATAAACAAGCTCTGAAGGAGAAGGCCCAGAAAAGCAGCCTCCTCTCTGGGAGTGCCATCCACCTGCCCGTGGTACAACTTTCTAGCTGGCAACCCCATCCTTTTGGTCAGCAAATATCGCCTCGGTGTCACGTGCTCTGCGGCAAAATCAGAATTAGATAGAGTCCCCGCCCCAAATTGCTCCCTAAGCTGCACTGCCGAAAGATTTGCTGAAAGAAGGGGCGATCTTTTGACCTCGGGAGAACTCGAACTTCAGCCCATGGTGCCTACATCGCCAAGACACTGCATTTCTCTTTCTGCGCCCAAGCGTACGGAGCACGCCCGGTCTGCAGGCCCCCAGATTATGAAATGCCCTCTGCTTGGTCAATATTCTTTGATCTACCTTGATACTTTGGAGCTTTGACCACCCCTTTCGCTGATTTGCGGCCCTCCCCTTCCAAATGACCCTCACCTCTGACCCTTTCAGACCCGAGACCCCTGACCTAGGACCGATCTCCCCCTCATTTCTTCGCCCTTTGGTCATTCTTGCTCCATCTTACATTTTCTTGGCAACATCCGTCTCCCGGAACTGCTCCTTCACCATGGTGATAGCTGCCGGGGAGCTCCCCCGCCTCGAGATTTGGGGAGCTGGATTAGAGAGACGACGCTCTTTGCACCTCTCGGGGTTGCTTCTTGACTCGTTGCTAACACATCAGCGGCGTCCTCTCGGCCACCGTAGAGAGCGCCCCACGTGGCCCCTTCCTCTTCCGCTACTCGCCGGCGCGTCTGTCTGTCAAGAGAGGCTTCCGGCCCGCCGCTTTTTGCCTTCTCCTTACACCGCCATCTGGCGGCACCTCCTTGAAACTGCACCGAGGTCTGCACTGTTATTTTCAAAATTCCCATTTCCGGTCTATTTCCCCAGGTCATCTGACACCGAGAAATTACAACCTCTTACCTTAGGACTTTTAGACAAACAGAAAGCCAAAAATTGCATAAAATGGAAAATGGTTATTATAAACATCAATACCATCTTTTTTTTTATTTTTTCCTTTCCCCAAAGCCCCCTGGTACATAGTTGTGTATTCTTCGTTGTGGGTTCCTCTAGTTGTGGCATGTGGGACGCTGCCTCAGCGTGGTCCGACGAGCAGTGCCATGTCCGCGCCCAGGATTCGAACCGACGAAACACTGGGCCGCCTGCAGCGGAGCGCGCGAACTTAACCACTCGGCCACGGGGCCAGCCCCCATCAATACCATCTTAATTAAAGGCCTCTAATTATTCTAGGAAAGGTAGAGGCTAAAGCGAACCTGCCCCAAGGACAGAGGGCACCATGTGGACCAACAAAAAAGGAAACTGGGGCAGAAAACACAGCCGTGTATGCACCGCTAGTTCATAAAGCTATTTTGGAAAAAAAGAAGAATTAAACTTATATATATATTTTTTCTTCTTCCCCCCAAAGCCCCCCAGTAGATAGTTATATGTTCTAGTTGCAGGTCTTTCTGCTTTCGCTATGCGGGATGCTGCCTTCTACTTCCGCTATGCGGGAAGCATGGCTTGATGATCGGTGCCAGGTCTGTGCCAAGGTTCCTGGTGAAACCCCGGGCCACTGAACTGGAGCTTGCGAACTTAACCACTAGGCCACGGGGTCGGCCCCTTAAACTTATATTTTTATTACAAAAACAGAAGCTGAAAATCTGTCCGTTTAGGGTAAAAAGTGAGCCATGGTGAGATAGGGAAACAAGATAAAGGGCAAATAGGAAGTGAAGATCAGATCATTCATGTACGGAGGAAATAAACAGCTTGCCTACAGTCTGTAACAACTTACGGGAGGTGATCCTAATGTGGCATCTTGTGCATGAGACTAACAAGGAAACCACACCACCGTAGGACTCAGTGCTACAGAACCTGAAACTTATTGTTTGTGAGAAACTCTAAACAGAACCTCGTAAAGTGATTCAACACCTTTGAATTTTAAGAAGGGACGCTGTTTCATTTTCAGACCCTATGGAACCCCACTAGCAAGACACAAATGTCACAGACCAAAAGCAAAGTAAATCAGAGTTTACTAACCTATGCCAGCAGTTAACCACTTAATATATTTTTGGAGTAATGTTGACCATACTATACCAATAAGATTTGATGAGTGGCTTTTATCATCCACAGGTCAAGAGCAAAGGTTCTGGAACCACGGTGCCTCCACGGGAGTCTAGACACCACGTAAAAGTTGTGTGACCTTGGGAAAGTTACTTAACCTCACTGTGTTTTAGCTTTCCCGTCTTTAAAAGGTGTAAGTTTCTTAGAGTTGGTGGGAAGTTAAACGGCAAAATGAAGGTAAAAGTAGTAAGAATTTAACAGGCACATAGCAATCACTCAATGAATATTAACTATTATTATTCTGAAGAACATAGGGAGGCAGCCTTTAAAGCCTGCATCCTGGTCTCCTGGTCCACCTAACTTTTGGGAATGTCTTTCCTAAAGTCTTTGAACATGCACACTTTTATGTTCTTTGTTTCATTTTCAACAATTAACAAATTTCTGGATCAAGCAAATATTAAAAGCTCATTTTTTGGAAGGATTAAGATTTTCAAAAAAAGACAGTTAAAGAGTTTTTAATCTTCAATCAGAAAATCACCAAAGAATTTCATAAAAATGATACTCAGCAATACATTTAAACGGTCAGTGTTGTGTACTTGAAACGACAAAGGGTTTCTGCAGTTTGCCCAGTTGCAAAGTGAGGAGCTGGTGGAGGGGATCTCCTAAGACGCCTTCCAGCTTTACCAATCTCTAACTCGGATAGAGGTAATTTAAACTATAATTCGGCTTACCAGAATTTTAAGTACGGACAATTCAGTATAATGAATTGAACTGAAACTAAAGTCGTGCTTCCATAAACCTAGCTGTCCCAGCTGTGCGCCTCCCATTGGCCAGTCTAGAACCGCGGGGTACGTGGCCCAGGATCAACGAGTGGGGCCATGGGGACTTTCAATCCGGCATTGGCGCGGTCGACCTCGCGATTCGAACCACGCCCCCACGCCGGGGCCGCCCGGGGTCCTTCCGTGCGCGTTGATATGATTGGCCGGCGAATAGCAGTCCTCTTTTCCTTCCCGGCTGCTTGAGCATCCACGGCCATCATGGTGAGTCTCCCTTTTCTGCTGTGGTCATCGGCTGCGTATCGGAGCCATCCTTCGTGTCCCGATCCCGCCATCTGCGCTACGGCCGCCTGAAACTCAGTAGCTTATCCCTGGCTGTGTCTGCCGGCGGCCGGTTGCCGAGCGCCCTAGAGCCGCCTGCGGGGAGACCGGGCTGCGCTGGCTATCCGGACCTGCCGTGCTTCCGAGTCCAGGGCCTGGGGAGTGCGGGAGTGGCTGCTACGTTGGTCGGCCTCCTGGAGCACAGTGGATTGGGCGGGGTGGGGTGAGACGCGTCCTTCCTGCATCCCAGTGTGGGATAGGGGGTCGGCAGGTGATGGCCGCCTAAGAGGTGAAGAGGGTGCGGGCGGCGCCCGGGCGAGTTGCGGCGAGTGAACCCGTTCCCGCGTGTAAGCTCGGATGTTTTCGGCCGGGTGGGTCCTCCTGTTTTTCCTTGCGGAAATACACCCTGGGAAGAGAAGCCACCAAAAGGCTTGCACTCAGTCACTACTAGTTAGCTGCGTCTCTCGAAAGGTTCACCTGTTTTAACTCCACGTGCAAGTCATTTTTCCCCGACCGTTCACTCTCAAGAATTGAGTACTGTTGAAGTGAACTTATTTTGTGGTTTTTCAAACTGAAGCTGAAATCTAGTAATCATTTGCTGCCGTGAAAACCTGTCCTTTCTTCTTTTTTTGGGTAAAACCTTTCGTTTTAGTCGTTCTAAGTATGCTGAATGCCCCCATTCCTTAGTAGTTACTTGTGTAAAGGGAGTTTTTGGGTCACTCAGAAGGGAGTACGGTTTTCTTTGGGCTGTAGAGTTTGGTGGTGAAGGATGTGCAGGCAGTGCAGGGCTTGTGTCATATTTGTGCAGGATGCTGTGAACACGGTGCTGTGACTGTAGCGTTAGTATGAGCCTCCGTTTTACTCCAGAGAAGTGGTTCTTAACTGGTGGGGTGGATTTTTGCTCCTAAGGGAACAGTCGATAAAGTCTGCAGACCTCCTTGGTCACAATAGAGAAGTGGGGACCTGCATCTAATACTGGAGGACAAGGTTGCTACTAAATATCTTAAAATGCGCAGGTCAGACCCCACAACAAAGAACCAGCCAGACCAAAATATTGTGCTGAGGTTGAGAAACCCTGCTCTGGAGTGATTCCCACAACAAAGTGAAGTAAAACTTAAGAGATTCACACCGAGCTGTTGAGTGCATTTTCTTGGTACTGAGTTTGTGTGTTGGTGCTCTGCTAATAAGTAGGTTGGGAGGACATGGGAAATTGTCGCTTTTTTGCTTCTTTGAAGTTTTCCTGCCACTACTCCATGTGGCTTTTGAACATTTGAAATGTTGTTCCTGCTGCCGAGACATTGCGTTTTTAATGTTATTTAATTTTAATTATCTGTGTGTGGCTGTGGGTTACCGATTTGCACAGTGCAGTTCTAGATCTTGGAAAATCACAGAAAGGTCAAGAAAAGTTTAAGTATTAACCTAGTGTGCGATGTTTTCAGAATGACACAGTAACTATCCGGACCCGGAAGTTCATGACCAACCGACTACTTCAGCGGAAACAAATGGTAAGGAGGGGCCCATCAAAGTTGGGTTAATTGTTCTTCGCTTTTAAAGATGTATTTCATTATAATAAATACTAAACTTGATATCTTCTTTTAGGTCATAGATGTCCTTCACCCTGGGAAGGCAACGGTACCCAAGACAGAAATTCGGGAAAAACTAGCCAAGATGTACAAGACCACACCAGATGTCATCTTTGTATTTGGATTCAGAACCCATTTTGGTGGTGGGAAGACAACTGGCTTTGGCATGATTTATGATTCCTTGGATTATGCAAAGAAAAATGAACCAAAACATAGACTTGCACGAGTAGGTCTCCTCATTTATTCTACAGCTGCTGAAGACGTTTTTTCAATAATGTTATGTTGTGGCTTCAGTGGAATGAGCAAGAGCAAGCAGTCTGGCGAGGGGCAACATAAGCACCTAAAGAACTCTGAAGGGGTTAAGAGAAAGGAAGGGGATGAGAGAGGTTCTTTGATAAAGTACAGGGGTTCAGAAGTGGGGTCTGCAGCGTTCGAGGAGGTGGCATTTGAGCTGGGTCTAGAAGGCAGGAGAAGTGGTGCTTGTGGAGATGGGGGCTGGAAGCAGGGGGTGAGTTTGGAAAGATAGGTTGGTACCAAATTGAGATCCTTATTACCAAATGTGAGTGGACTAAACTCCCCTAGGTAGCTAGGAACTGAAAGGTTTTTGATAATTTCTTGAGTGCCAAGCACTACAGAGTGAACTACAGTGGACTGGGGATGCTCCCTATCTTACTTTTTAGCTCGAGAACTAGCAAATGGATTGGTAGTTTGAAATATTTCTTGTATCTCATGTTGTAACTGTTTTTCCTCCCTGCTGTTAGATAACTCTTCCCATAGAATAGCTGTGAGGGAAATCATGGTGATGTGGTGGGATGCTGCATTCTTTTTAACTGGTGGTCTGGGAGGCCTTGCTGAGGAGGTGACACTGAAGCTGAGATCATTGTAAAGATTTGGAAGGAGTCTTCTAGGTGCAGGAACAGCAAGTGCAAAAGTGAGCAATGCAAGATGAGTAAATTCGCGCACTCTTCATTGGCGGTGGGTAGAGTG